TGATGATTTGATTAGAATTGTTGATAGCCCTAACTTTAACGATTTTCCTTGGGGTAGATTGTCTTTTAATTTACTTTTTACAAGTCTGAAATTTGGTATTGAGACTTTGTACAAGCACGATGATAAGGTTCTAATTCGAAATGAGAAGAGACGCGTAGATGGATATAAGATCAACGGTTTGGCCTTTGCTTTTCAAGTTTGGGGTTATGAATGTCTACCACACCTTGGTGGTATTTGTGCATTGAAAAAGTTTATTGATGAGCCTATTCTGCGAATTTTCAAATGGTCAACGGACGAAAATTATTTGAAGAAGCCATTTGATGTGTTGAACAGCAAAAATGGCCAGGTTAGACTTCTGTCTTGGTAGTTTTTTATAGTAAATTTTCATGTTTTAATGTTTTTATTAATATCTTTTGCTTATTTTTTATTTTAATATTTTTATTTTTTATTTTCAGTTCTCTTATTTTTCAATGGAACCAATTGAATCAGAGCGTCTCTACAATTATCTTGACGGTTTTTTTCAGAAGTCGGCAAAGGATGTTCCGGCTTCTAGTGGCTGTGATTTGAAGGAGGATGACAAAGATTTTGAAACTGTACCTCCTCCATTTATCCCTCCTCCAAAAAATCAGGTTTGTTTAGTTTTGTTTTTGTTCATTTTTCAATTTACAATTGGAACTGTAAGGTTGTTTTTTTGAAAATCAAGTTATGTGAAAATCAGGTTGTTTTGACATGTTATCCTCCATAACGTGTCAGGTTATGGTCCATTAACTTGTCTGGTTATGAACCATAACTTGACAAGTTATTGTCCTAATTCAGAGTTTTTGTCGATAATTCACAGTTATTGTCCATAACTTGTTTGGTTAACTTGACGAGTGATTGTCCATAATTCAGAGTTTTTTGTCCATAATTCACGGTTATTGTCCATAACTTGTTTGGTTAACTTGACGAGTTATTGTCCATAATTCAGAGTTTTTGTCCATAACTTGACAGGTTTTTCACATAACTTGATTGGTTATTTTCCATAGCTTGATGTGTTGTGTTTGTCATTATGATTTGACTTTTTTCGTTTTGTTATTTTTTGCATTTTTTAGGGTGCTTTTGATAATTTTAAAGTTTTGGCGCGCATTGCTTCCTTGGAGGCCAAAACTGATAGTTTGGTTGTTGAAGTTTCTTCCCTTCGAAGAGATTTCAAAGAACAAATTTTTTCTGTGGTTCAGTTGCTTGGTGAAAAGTTTGACAATGCGTTTTCTTTTAAGAAGAACAAGCAAATGGAGGAAGAACAAGCATTTGAAGAAAAAAAAGGAAGAAGAAGAAGTTGAAGAAATAAAGGAAGAAGTAATTGAAGAAGCAGTTGCAGAGAAAGAAGATGACAAAGTGGATGTTTCTTCTAAAAAAATTGAAGAAACAATTGCTTCAGTTTTGAGGGATCTTGTTCATGAAGCTGCCCAGGAAGGCGATAAATGTTTTGATCAAAGGATTATTTTGTATGATGAGGCAACAGCATCATAAGAACCTATTAAATGTATAGATGAACGATTTTTATGTTTTTGTCCATTCTCTGAAATTGTTGACAGTGATGCATTAGAGGAGGACAAGGCAAGATTCCTATCATGGTATAAGAGTAATATGATCTCAAGAAAAGCGCGGGGACCGGCCAGCGATGCATATATGATAAAGCCTCCTTTTGATTTTAAAGTTGACACCATTGATTCAAAACATTGGTTTCAAACTTTATGGACATCAAAGTGTTGGATAACTGACTCGGTAAGATTCTTCCTTTTTTTTTTAATTTTACGCATGATTTTTTTTTTTGTAACAAATCTGATATTTTTTTTTTTTATTTTGATAGCATATTGATGTAGCCACATATTATTTGCGGAGTGTTACAAAAACAGGCCATACATTAGGTGTTTGGTTTTGGACTCACATTTTTTCATGAGAATTAGTGGCTTATGGTGCTCTAAAAACCAAAAGGATTTTGATTGATCTCGTTTTGATTTCTCTTCACATAGTGCTTTTCAAGATTATGTGTTGGGAGATTATTTATTTTGTAGCTTGCCTTTTTGTGAGGTGGACATTATTCTTGTACCTATTTTTCTTGAGCGTAGGCAGCATTGGATTTTAGGTTATGTAGAGTTCAAAGATCATTGTAGTAGGTTATATGATTCTCTTTTTTCAAAGAGGATAAAGAAGCAAGTCCGTGCTTCTGTGCAATCTTTGGCAGTCATTCTCCCCCACTTGCTGGAATCTGTTGGCTACTTTGATTCTCATGCGAAAAAGTATTTCACAAGTCAATTTGATCATCTTGAACCTTTTGAGATCATATTTGACGATTGTCCAAGACAAGAGAACGGGTTAGTTTGTTTTTTTCTCTTTAAATGTTTTGTTATTTTCCCTTTACTTCATTCATTTTTGCATTTATATTTGTTGTTTCTAATTGTTAGATTTTTGGTGGTTGTTTTTTGTAGTGGTGATTGTGGAATTTTTATGCTCAAGATGGCTGAGATATTAATGGAAGCCAGATCTGATGATTGTTTGAGAGAAGAAGGGGCTGGAACATTGTTCCGCAAGAAGATGACAGTTGAGTTGTTCAAGCATGGCTTGCGGAAGCAGCAATTGGGATATGAAAGTGATGATAACAGGGCTCCAAATGCCCCAAAAATGAATTTTATGACGCCAACAGATGCCATTGAGTGCGACTTGGATGATTATATGGATTAACTTGTTGGTTTTCAGATTCGTGTTTTATTTCTAGTTGTGGTACATATTATATTGGTTTTTAACTTGTTGATGATTATATGGATTAACCTGTTAGTTTTCAGATTCGTGTTTTATTTCTAGTTGTGGTACATATTATATTAGTTTTTTTAACTTGTTCATGATTATATGAATTAACTTGTTGGTTTTCAGATTCGTGTTTTATTTCTAGTTTTGGTACATATTATATTGGTTTTTAATTTTAATTAGTAAACAAGTTTCAAGTTATTTTGCATATTTTTACATGTAATTCTCGTCCATAACTTGTCTGGTTATGACAAGTTATTGACCTAATTCAAAGTTTTTGTCCACAACTTGTACGGTTATACCATAAGTTGACTGTTTATGGTCCATTATTGAAAATTTTTTCATAACTCGTCCGAATATGTATCATAATTTGACGGGTTATGGTGCAAATTTGACTGTTTTTACAATAACTTGTCCGGTTATGCAGCATAACTTGTCTGGTTATGCAGCATAACTTGTCTGGTTATGCAGCATAACTTGTCTGGTTATGCAGCATAACTTGTCTGGTTATGCAGCATAACTTGTCTGGTTATGCAGCATAACTTGTCTGGTTATGCAGCATAACTTGTCTGGTTATGCAGCATAACTTGTCTGGTTATGCAGCATAACTTGTCTGGTTATGCAGCATAACTTGTCAATTTTGACATGTTTTTATATAGATTTTTTCATAACTCGTCCGCATATGTATCATAATTTGATGGGTTATGGTGCAAATTTGACATGTTTTTACATAAATTGTCCAGTTATGCAGCATAACTTGACATGTGATTAGCATAACTTGAAGATAACCTGAACAAGTCAAAAGATTATGATCATAATTCGATCATCATTACCTGACCATAACTTGATAGTGCAGCTGCACTTGTAATTTTCAGATTCAACAGCATGAAATTGATAAACCCTGGGTTTACATTCTTTTTTATTCAAGGAACAATCTCAAACATAATCTAAAATTCTTGTCAATGAATATTAACATTCAATAGATTGTAAGAATTAGTGTAAATCTCAAGTCATCATTTAAAATATAAGACTAGTCTTTAGAAACAGTAGTCATATCATCCAAAAGGTTGTATTCTAATATCATCCCATTTTTACGAGTCTGTGTTGTTAGAACTTTGGGTGAAGAGGATGAATGAAGGAATGCCAAGCTCTTCCATTTTTTCCCTCTGTTCCTTTGCACTTTTTCTTTTGTTTCTCTTCATTGATTTTTCTTCTTCCTCATTTTCTGTTTCTTCATAATCTTGTTCCTGCAGTAATAAGTTTTTGATTAGTATTAATGTGGGTTTTTTTTTTTTTTTTCCTTTTTCCCAAGTAGTATTAAGAAGATTCATACCTTTTTGATTCCTTGAGCAGCAGCTTTTCTCATTGCTATTATCTTTTCAGCTTCTTCAAATGTTCTGTCCAATGTTTGTTAACTGATATCAAACGAGTCTGTGAGTGGAGTATAACCGAATTCTCCCTCATATTCTCCTAGCTCTGCAGATAATTCTTTTTCTCTATCTTCCTGTTCATTGAGGTACAAATTAGTATATCATTAAGGAAACATTGCAAAAACAAAATCAACATTATTTTGCGTTGTTTCATTACCTCAGAGTCTGTGAATGGATTGTTTTGTATTTGTTTGAGAAACAGAAGCACATCTTTTTGAATGGTTCTCATAGTGTCCACAGAATTCACAACCATTGCCTTTATTTCTTTTAGATCCTATTTCATGGCTGCTTGGTTGGCTTCAAAATGTTGTACTTTGTTAAGCAGATTAGTTAGATCAATTTCCATCTTGTCCAGTTTTCTTGATGTTGCTGGTGGCATTTCACTTTGAACTTCATCGTCATTTATTTCTCTCAAAAAAACCATAACTTGACAATGATTTATTTTCGACAATTTGAATAATCTGACTTGCACTTGTAATTTTCAAATTCAAGAGATGACATAACTCGACATGTTATGATCAAAACCTAACCATAACTTGATTTTTGAAGCCTTAAATTTATTCAACATGCTTACTATATGATAGGTTTCCAATTACATAATCTTTTCATTCAAAATTTCAATTCAAGAAAATCAATATTAACATACTCAAATGAATTCGTGATTTTCCAGATAGTGATTAACGGATTTACCTTGTTCTTATGTTACCTTCCATGTTCTTCGATTTCTCGTCTAACGACACCGGCGGACCTAAGAGAGAGAATCGGTGGCGGACCTTCCCTGTTCTTCAGTTTTTGGGACTGGTGAAGGGATGAGAGAGAGATAGAGAGAGATTCAGAAGGAATAGAGACAGATTGCGGAATAGAGACATATCGCATTATAGGGCCGGAGGGAAGAGAGAGTGATCATAGGAGAGCGGCGGAGGGAAGAAACAGTTCGCCGAAGATCACCGGAGGGAAGAGAGAGTGATCGTGGGAGAGCGGCGGAGGGAAGAAACACTCGCCGGAGAGCACCGGAGGGAAGAGAGACAAAGAGAGAGCGGAGGTCGGTGTGAGAGAGAACTGAGAGAGAGAGGTGTTAGGGTTTTTTGAGTGAAAATGGCAATTTTGGAATTTATGTATAGATAAATCTGAATGTATCTTAATTTGGTGGCCTATTTGTTAACTTATGTAAACTATTGACCTATTAATTTTAATTCATCTCAAATATTAGCCTATTTTCCTCCTTCTCCCAATTTTTTATATAAATTTCAGGCCGGCCTGAATAGACCTCTACTCAATCAGAATAGGACCGACCTAGATCGTTAAAAAAAAAAAAAAAAAAAAAAACTGGTGGGTCGAATTGGACCAAATCAGGCTACTGAGATGGATCAGGGAGGCTCAATTTTAAGACTCGAGCCAGCTAAGCTGGGCCAGACGACCCGCTTTCACAATTCGGGCCACCCAGCCGACAACACAAACTACCACCTTAGTAAGAAATGAGTGCTTTTTTTACTAGAAAGAGAAAATTATCAAATAAGTATATGAACATGCATTAAAATGGTACTAGTTTAAGAAATCGCTTCTTTCAAGTGGTACATAAGGAATACAATCTACCAATTCACTCTTAGTACAAGCTTGCAATTTGAGGACTACAAAACACCTGCACTTCTTCAAGAGTCGCCTTATATTGATCTCCAAAAATTGAGTCCTTCCCATCTTTCCTCTTAGCATATGACAATCCTAATCTTGATTTGGCTTGCCTTAGATCCCCAACACCCGAATTTGTATCCGGACCCGCAAACCCGCCCATAACCGGTGCAAGAGGAGGCCCAATAAGTAGCCCATCAGCCCCAAATTGCGGCCCGCCACGAGCATAATCGAAGAGGGCCGCACCACTCCCCCCTACTTTGGGCAGAACAATGGGCTCATCATCAGGATTTGCATTGTCCGCCCAGTACAAGAGAAACGCATCAAAAGTGTCATAGTAATCGTCTGTGCTTCTATAGCCCTCAGGGTTAAAAGCTCCAAACTTGAAGGACTTGTTTGTGTAGCCAATTATCACACAAGGACCTTTGAAATCACAGAAATTATGAAAATCAGTTGCGCTAAATCCATCTATTGTGGCCTTATAGCAACATTTCAGCTCCCTACCTGCTTGTAAAGTTGTAATATTACAACCATGAATAAAAAAGTAACAAGAAAATTAACAATTGAACTTGCACCAATACAAAAAGGAGAGTTACATGGTAGGATTGTCACGGAATCATACATTTTTTTGGGTGGGGCATTATGAACGATACAAGAGAGAGTTTTTTTTTACTAGATATTGATAGAATTTTAAATTTCATTAGTGGGGCACAAGTAGGAATTTTCCTCATAATATGAGAGCATAATTTTAGTTTTAAAAAATATTTTAAGTATATAAACTTAAATTTCAAAAGTTATTACGCCCCACTAAACTATACGTGGTTCTGTCACTGCGGTGGAAGTATTAAAATGTACGATACATATAGGATGAAATCACGAGTGGTTAAATCACATGAGAATCGTGTTAGATTAAAAAAAAATTAAGACAGTTTAAGAATTTGATGAAAATCGGACGGTCATAAATTGTCTCATTTGAATAATAGTAGGGTATTTTTTAATCCTCCGCTTCAAAAAATTTTATTGAAAAACGCTTCACAGCTCGACGACAACAAAATCACAATTGGGCTCATAGATTTTGTGTTGTAAAATGCTAAGAGCAACTAATAGAGAGAGAGGAAGAGCAACTAATAGAAGAGAGAGAGAGAGAGAGAGAGAGGAGAGTACCTCTTAGGAAAGTTTTGTTAACCAGAGAAAGTGAGAAAGGAAGATCAATATCATGGTACTTGGTCTTTGATATATCCTCATTGTTTTGTTTGCCAATGTTCCAGCCAAACAAGTTATAAGGGCTTATTGCCTGTCTCTTATTCTTCCCATGAAAAATAACACTGTTTGAGACGTAGCAAGCCATCTGAATTATGTGACTAAGCCATAACCAAGAATACTAATGTCACTCATCAGCTTCTCACAGTTTATTTATTAATATCAAAGGAGAAGCAGAGCATATATCTTATCTTCTTTTCTCATATCTCTCTTCTCAACCATTGACTTGTGTCGGCTTCTACTAAGTTTATTATGATTAAAATGTATTTTTTTATTAAATTTTATTTATCTGTTGATCTAATAAAAACATTGGGTCCATAGCTCAGTGGTAGAGCATTTGACTGCAGATCAAGAGGTCACCGGTTCGAACCCGGTTGGGCCCTAATTCAGGTTTGTTTTAATTTTGGGGTAGCATAATTCGGTGTTTTTGTCTAAATATTATTTTTGTCCCTCTTATTACGTGTAAATGGATAAAAAAAACCCAACGTTCTTATAAAATTGTACTCAAAATAAAGATTGAGAAGGGTAATTTTGGTACTTTAAAAAACACTAACAATCTTGGTATTATTCTATTTTTTTTAAATGATCATATTTTCAAATTGTAAAAAATTAAATAAATAAAACAATACACAAGCACAAAATCACATGTAAAACAAAAATACAGACAGTTTTCTTTCTCTCTCTCTCTCTCTCTATTTATTTATTTATTTGTTTTCTTGTTGCTTTCTTTCTTAGGGGTGGATGGCTGAGGAGAAGAAAGCAACAATCCAACAGCACCCTTCAAGATCAAAATCCCATGCAAATAAACACAAATAATAAACAATATTTATCAATTTGAAGCCAACATTTTGCGGTATAGGTTAAACTCCAAGATTACCCTTATAATAAAAAAATAAAAAATTCAAGATGAATATAATCGCAAAGCAGGAGGAATTGACTACCCTCGCATATGAGATGTGTCCGTGCCTATATGTACAATTGAAATTGCCAAATAAATATTCATAACATATTCAAAGGGCTCAAGAAATTACCATATCAAAACATTATCCTCCTAGATAACTAAATAACGCTTCCATAACCAATTACCAAAAAAAAAAAAAAAAATCCACAAAAAAAAAGTAAATAACGATACATAACATTACGTAATCAATAGTAATAATAATCCTATCGGCAGGGAAAAAATGGTTAAAAACAGATATTATTTGTTGTGACCACAATCTCAATAGTAAACTATTCCTTCCTCTTGTACAAGACTTTTTCTTCAACTTTGTCGTCCCAATATTCTTTTAAAACTTAAAGGCATTTCCTTGCCCAAGTATACATGAACATTATGAACATTATGACCATTATGACCATTATGAAGGGACACTGGAGACAACAAAGTCAAAGAAGAAGACTAGTTTGGGTTGTTCTTTTGCATTTTTAAGTTAGGGTGACTTGAGTGATGATCTTGAGTTGAATTTGAGTTATAACTTGAGTTGAAGTTGTAACTTGAGTTTGTGTTTAGATGTGCATATTTGAGTTATGATTTGAATTGAGAATCTTTTTGAGTTTGTATTTGGGTGGGTCAAACTTAAATTTGTATTTAAATAAGTATTTTACTAAAAACTCAATGGTAATAAAAAATTTTTAATAGGGTATATGAGTGGAGTTTTATTCGTCTTTTCGTTGTGAATGCATAGAAAAAATCATCTCAATCAGAATTAAAATGAAAAGGTTATGGCATTTTTAAGAATGAAAAAAATAATGTTCATTAACTTGAGTTCGAGTTTATGAACTCGAATTGAAAGGAAAACTTGAACTCGAGTTTAACCCCAAACTCGAGTTCAAACTCGAGTTCAAATTCAAATTTTATAAAAAAACATGAACTTGAATAAAGTTGTAATTCGAGTTCAAATTTTTTCTGAGTTTTGTTGCAAAAGAACAACCCTAACTTTTAACTAACTCAAATCACAACTCAAACTTTTTGCTACAATATTTTCTCTCACAAAAATTCAAATACAATTTTTTTACTATATTGTTTTGTCTCACATACTAAACTCAAATTCTTTAACTCAAGTTCAAAAAAATAACATGCCTTAATTTCTTGAAAAAAGTGAATATGAGAATGGGAGAGATTTTTGGTTTAGGGAGATTTGTATAAAGGTGGCTATTTATGATCAAAACTAAGTAGGCATGTGAATGTGAGTTGAATTAGGTTAGTAAATTATATTCTATATTTTTTTAACGAAATTAAAATTTGACCTTGATGAGGCGAAATTAATCCTTCTTTCATTTTCTCTTTCTTTATTTAATTCAAATATGACTATAGTTCAGTACTTAATCAGTTAGGACTTACGTATGGCCCCGGACTAAATAACGAGAATTTGATTTTTATTTTTCTTTTTCTTTTCTTTTTAAATATATTGATCCATTGCTTTAGTAAAAAAAGAAAAAAAATGAAAATTGATGTATTTTAAATATTGAGACGTGATAGACTTGCAACATCTCTAATAAAATTTTCCAATACTATTTTTTGTTCTTTTAATGAATATGGTAGAATTTTAAACATTTTTAAAATATCAAAAACATTCCCTGTGTCTCTTTCAAAAAAAAAAAAAAAACCGTCAAAATATCATCTTTCTCACTTTAAAAGAGAGAATCCGTTTTTCCGGTGGTGGGGCCCCCTTCCCGCCGTTTTGTTGCATGTTTTTTTTTCCCTGTTTTAATTTTTTTCTTTTAATTTTTTTTTATTTTCTTCTTTTTCATCCGTTACCTTCAAATATCTCCCCTACAAATACTTATTTTATGGTTATTTAAAAAAAAAAATTTTCTAATTACCTTGCTAAATTTTTTTTTTTTTCAATTTTATCCATACATAAGCATCATTTACCAGTGATCCTTATAAATTACAATTTCAGTTGCGAAACATATCACATAAATTTTTTTCTTAAGTTTTTTTGGTCTTTTTTACATGTATTTTGCTTCTTATATGTTTCCCGCTTTTGTCTTTATTTCTTTTATCCTTTCTTTTCTTTTTAGTAATTTGTATAATTGTTGTTTTAATTGAATCATGCGCACTTTGCGTACATTTTTTACTAGAATACCATGCGATTTTTATAGTCCCGGAAAATTAAAACAACATCCAAGAATATTCCGTTAATTCTTTCCAGAAAATTTTGAAGCTAGCAAGGGGACTAAATGGACTCATATAATTTATTAGTGTGTGTATATAGCGTGTTTGTAAATTTCAAATTTTCAAATCTATACTAGTATACACATTTTTTTTTTTGAGGAACATTAGTATACACATTTCAAATTACTGAGAATTAATAAATGGACAAATATGCCAAAACATTAAAATACATCGTGTGTTGCGAGTTCTTCTTCAATATAAATGGGAGAGAGAAAGGAAAAAAAAATACTCCTTTGTAAATACTCAACTGAAAAATAAATCAATATATATCGTTTAATAATTAATTGTAAGGATAAAATCATTTCGATAACCTGTGTTATAGTGAAATATGTTTTTGGTATCCTTTTGATAATATTAAAACGGTACCTCAATGTTTTTAAAAACACCTTTTTGGTACCCTACACTGATTTTAAGATGTAAAATGACCTTAATACCCTTTTATTTAATCAATTAAAAATAATATATCTAGAAAAAAATCATGAACTTTTTTATTTTGTTATTTTCTTTTGAATATTTTAATGTTTTAAAATACTTTTAGATTTTTTTTAAAAAAAATACCTATTTCTATTTAATTGATAAGAAAGGTAGTTTAGACATTACATCCTAAAAATGAGCTTTATATTACTAGAAGATGTTTTTAAAAACCTTAAGGTTACATTTTAATATTATAAAAAAATACATAGTACTGAGATTATGTTTCGCTATAATATATGGTACCAAAATGATTTTATCCCTTAATTCTATTACAACATCTTACCCCCTTTTTTGGTGAGTTTTTTTCTCATCTCACCTATATTTATTTTGTGACTAAAATTTACGGGAAATTATATATGTGGGGAACATCCTACAATATGGATAGGGACAGATGAAACTAACCTTAATATTAAATTATATGACATTCTAATGAACATCCAACAATGCTTGTGCTTCGGGTTTTAGTTTTAATCTAATAAAAGCGTCGATATTTTCATCTAGTTTTAATATTATATTTATAATAATAGAGGTGGTTCTTTCACCATTTGAATTTATTTGTGATCCATTAGATTTATGTCTTGGCAAGTTACAAGTTCCGTTAGCTATGAGTCTATATAAAGATGTTGATAGTCTTAGAGCTACACGTTACATGCTCTCGATGGATTAAAAACTTCCATCGATTGTAGTGGTTTCAAAAAGAGTCTTATGCGTGCTCAAATTGATATGTCGGGGAACTTTCTCAATATCGGATCTTGTCTTAGATCGTCTTCCTTGTGCTTCATCAAAATTGACTGATTGAACCGATTTTTATTGAGTGTTTTGTATTGTATGCCACAAAATCATCCGCATTATTATTTATGTCTATAAGACCTTTTAATTGAATGAAATTTTACCTTAAAATCATGCTCATTCTAATTAACCTACACTATGAATTATTTGATTTTAATTTCACGGTTTTGATTAATGACCTATAAAAAAAATTCAAGATGAATATATTCGAAAAGCAGGAGGAATTGACTAACCTCACATATGAGATGTGTCCATGCCTATATGTACAATTCAAATTGCCAAATAAATATTCATAACTTATTAAAAGGGTTCAAGAAATTACTATCAAAAACATTATCCTTCTAGATAACTAAATAATACTTCCATAACCAATTACCAAAAAAAAAAAAAAACATTCCATAACAAAAAGAAAACGTAATAACTATAAATAACATCACGTAATCAACAGTAATAATAATTCTATCCGCAGGGGAAAAAAAAAGTGGTTATGGTAAACAATAATGACCAAAACCATATACACAGCCAGAAAAACATATATTATTTGTTGTGACCACAATCTCAATAGTACACTATTCCTTCCTCTTTACAAGACTTTTTCTTCAACTTTGTCATCCCAATATTCCTTCAAGACTTAAAGGCATTTTCTTGCCCTAAGTATACATGATCATTATGACCATTATGAAGAGACACTGGAGACAACAAAGTCAAAGAAGAAGACTTAATTTCTTTAAAAAAAAAAAAAAAGTGAATATGAGAATGGGAGAGATTTTTTGTTTAGGGGGATTTATATAAAGGTGGCTATTTATGATCAAAATTCAGTAGGAATGTGAATGTGAGTTGATTTAGGTTACTAAATTATATTCTTTATTTTTTAACGATATTTTTTACCTTGATGAGGCGAAATTAATCCTTCTTTCATTTTCTTTTTCTTTATTTAATTCAAATATGACTATAGTTCAGTACTTAATTAGTAAGTATTTTCCAATTAGGACTTACGTATGGCCAGGGGCTAAATTAAATAACGAGAATTTGATTTTTATTTTTCTTTTATTTTTAAATATAATATTGATCCATTGCTGTTAGCAAAAAAAGAAAAAAAAAAGAAAATTGATGTATTTTAAATATTGAGACGTGAGGAATTTTAAAATAGATTTGCAATTTTCATAATAAAATTTTCCAATATTATTTTTTGTTCTTTTAATAAAAATGGTAGAATTTTAACATTTTTATAGCGAAGCATATCGAAAACATTCATGTCTCTTTAAAAAAAAAAAATCCCTATATCTAGTCAAAATACCACAACCGATATAAAACACTCCCCATGTCTCTTTGAAACTCGGTCATGAATAGACACAACCGATATAAAACTTTATAGTTCAGGGGCAAATTAAAATTGGTGCTATAATTCAGGGGAAAAAAATAAAATGAAAAAAAGGGAAAAAAAAAAAAGAACAAAAAAACAATGCAAAGAGGATAAAACGAAAAAAAAAAAAAAAAAAAAAAAAAAAAAAAAAAAAAAAAAAAAAACTTTATAAAAGCACTACACGCACAATACCCCATTTAACAAAAATTGCCCAATTAAAGTACGCAAAAACTCCTAAAAAACCTATGAAATGGGAAGGGAAACAAACCTGATTATTATTCTGGGAAAATTACTCTCGGTGTCTCACAAGTTACTCTAACTCTATGATTATCATTTTCATTGTTATTATTATTATTATTATTATTATTATTACTCTCATGATCATGACCACCATTAATGCTACCACGGCTACTTTGGAACTCCTTGTAATAACGAGCCCTCTTTCCCAACACCTCAACTTCGTCAATCACATGATCGAGCTTGACAACCGCCTCCACAAGCAAGGAAGCGAAGGCGGCCAGCGGAAGCGCCTCCGAGAATTCGAGGCTCGTCACGGCGATTCTGCTCGGCTGCTTCTTCAACATGATCTTTCTCTCGCCAGCTGACTTATTGTTGTTGTGATCATGATGATGATGATGATGATCATCACCCTTTGACTCATCATGAGGCTGATGATCATTTGGCGGCGGCGGCGGTGAGGATTTCATGGCGGTGTTGAGGTCTCGCAAGGCCTCGTGGAGGTCGCCGGAGAGGATCTCCGGAGAGAAGCGGCGGCGGCTTCTTATGCTGCTGGCTAGCTCCATGAGCACCCTTGAGACTTCTCCTGAGAGACGAGTGCAGGGGTTCTTGAATAGAGCTCTAACGGGTCGTGGGGTCTGTTAATTAAGATATTAATGGATCAGTTGATCAGTTGAATGTTACGCTTGGTCCTAATTAACAAATAGGAGAATGCTGTTTGAAAAAATTATAATAATAATAAATAAGAGAATTTTGTGGTAGAGTATGAAAAAAAAAATGTAAAACCCCTAACACAATTCTAAACAGCCAAATGACATTATAATTATAAAAAAAATGTCTCTAGATAGACACCTCAATCAGTGAAGCACTTGTAAAGTTTTGCGTTCGTCATTGAAACATCGCTCACATATTCATATATAGTCTGACACTTATAACATTGAATGTTACACTTAAACAAAATATATAATCAAACACTTATAATATTGAGCGTTAAACAAATTGAGTGTTACATAAATGTATGAAGAATGTTCAAATGGCGAATGAAAAATGTTATAAATACTGAATTGGTCAAAGTGCCGGAAAAAAAGTGATTTGATAAAAAAAAAAAAAAAAGACCGGTTTTTATTAAAATAATGACCATATTTTGGGCCGAAAAAAGCAAAATTTTCAAATTATATATATATATAATAAAACTACAATTTTTGTCAAATTATATATATAATAAAACTAATTAACACATTTGAGAAAATATCATCTTTAATATTTATTGACTAAAATAATTAATAAATTTAAGTAAATATCAAATTTACTGACTAAATTAATTGTTAAAGCTCATATTAAATTAAGAAAATTATACCATGTATTCAAACAAAAAATAGACTATTTAATATGATCTCTTTTTTCAAAAAAAAAAAAAAAAAACCAGATAGAGAGAGGAGTTTGCTTTTAAAATGGGCGCTATAATGTAATGTTTGTGTATTTACCTGGATTTCGTTTCTTAAACATCCATGTAGAGCTACAACTGTGTATCCAAAATTGCGAATAGCACCTCCAAGTTTAACATATTGCTTCCATGGATATTTGTAACAGTGTCTTGAGTGCCTTGGTTCCCAACTCGCATGCAAAGCCTTCTCAAATATTTAAAGCACCAAAAGGAAAAACATCGGTCATCTCAAAATAATAAGCCTTGAACAAAACTGAAAAATTATCCAATATTAAAAATGACAAATTACTAATTATTACCAGTGTCTCATCATTAGATTTGGAGTCTAGAACAGCCTTGTAACCTTCATATATGAGATCCTGATCATCATCATCACCATCCTCTGTGGATTCATCGTCAGTTTCTTCCGATTCAATGTCGTTGAAATATTCATCGACACAAGCTATAAAACCACATTTTTGAATCATATTTTCGTTAATTATATCGATAAAAAAATCGCTCGCAAAAGTTTAACAAAAATCGCGACACGTAAGAAGGCGATAAGTGATGTCGGACGGCAATAATATTGTTATAATCGTTCTTCTTTTATGCTAAAAAAAAACGTGAATAGTGGTGACTGCTGAGTAGTAGTGGTCTGATATCATGTTATAAAATTCCGACTAACTTGTAAGCGTAGGAGTACCTTCAATGGATTTGGCTAGGCCTTCGAGCTTCGACGCTGTAAAATTGTGCAAAGTCTCCCCCGACCAGTGAGGAAATATCAGCAGGCTCATGAGAAGGCAGGTAACGCAGCCTATTACAATGGTGTAGAAGCGGTCGCGCGCAATCTTCAAGATGTTGTCGACTCGGTAACTCGTCACGGTTATCAGATTAAACGTCAAGAGAAATATGATAACACCATAGTCGTAGTTCTTCTTTATGTGGGGAAAGAACCTAAGGTATGCGCTTGCAGCTCCTGGCAAGGTTGAACACATTGGCACAAAGTTTGGAGTTCTAATTTAGAAAAATCATACATACATCATGAAAAAAAAAAACAGTTCTATGGTGTCATAAAACTAAAATCTAACAAAAAAAAACACACACACACACACAGGCAAAACATTAATTTTACTTTTACAGAAATCAAGTACTAAAAACTCTTATCAATTTTTGATTAACCTCATAGCTTACATGAATTCTTAACATTACTATGATACAGAATATACCCCCGAGTAATAAACCATCCAGGGACGCTGGTAGCTTGGCAGGTTACCATCAGTAACCTATCAGACCACTCAGGGATTATTAGTAATCTGCCAGGTTACGTATTTTCTCAATTGAAAGGCTACTTTACCTATCAGAAAAACAGCAATTCCAATGAAAATGGCGTGAAAAATCCGATTGGATTCGTTGACGACGTACTGTATGTAAAACCCCAAAGATCCTGCTAGCAGTGTCCCCAATCCTCTGTTGAATCCTTTGCATAATGTTGCCCCTAAAACAACCATACAATGTAAGAAATGGTTTTTATAGGCCATGTTGTTTTTATTTGTCATAGAAAAATGGCCTGTTCTAAGGAGATCAAATCAACAAAACTTACGAAAGCAAAAATGTTGTCAAGAAACTAAACCTGCCGTGAATTCGAGAACGAGAACGACGGTCATGACGGCCCAAATGGTGTTCTCTCCGATCCCTTCAAACAAGGGCTCCATCAGATACAACAATGAAGCCAATGTGAGAGACACGCCAACTTTCAGTGCATAAATCACCCTCTTTGGATCCTCTTTCCCCACTTTCCATGCTGTTCGCCACGCCGAACCCGGTAACCTTTGCGTTTTCTTGAGAAAATTCTTCGTCTTTCTCCTTCCTTTCCCTTTTTTAACTTTCCCGGGATTCGCTTTCCCAGGCAAGGAAATTTCCACTTGATCTGTTTCCGCATGAACTTTTGCAAACATTTCTTGTTATGTTCAATATAAAGAGGAAAAAAAGAAAAAAGGAACTAAGATGTAAAATGATTGTGTAAAAGAATGGCTGGGGAATTGAAAATATGATATATGAACTAGTAGTTTTTGTTTCTCCCATGAAAGAAAACTTGATGGTGCAAAGAGGTTGATATAGCTTCTAAATAGGAAAGGACTAATGGTGATCATTTGCTGCGTTTTTTTTTTTTTTCTTTTTCTTTTTTCTTCCTTTGCATAATTACCAAAACATCCCTTTAATTGGCAATTTATTCTAAAAGACATTTTTTCCCCTCTCTCTCTAAGGTTTTGGTTTTATTATTGGAAACAGCACTTTAGTTACCATTCTAATTTAAGAATTCTTAAATAGACATTTTTAAAGTTGTCTGAACCAGGGAAAAACATTTTAATAAGACCGTTACTAATACAATAGTTACCTCTAAAACCTTGCAACACTATTGTGCAATAAAGACACATAATTAAAATCTCAAAAACTTTCACAATCTAAAATAATTGAAAATATATTTTGTTTCCTCCATAATAAATAGCGGGTAATAAATTAATAACATGCTGTTTGTATATTTCTACACCTGGAAAATTTGCCTCCGCACATTTTTACATATTCGACTCAATAATCATCTTAAGAAAGAAAAATTGTATACAAATATAAAATATCAATAATAGTTTAAAGAAATTGACACCTACAGAAAAGCAAAATCACTATTAGTGTTGTAAAAAATTTCGATGCAAGTGTACGTACACTATCGGTAACAAATAATAAAGTGATGAATAGAGTGTCGAGCACGCGAGAATTGTGTTAATTCTATTAAGTACCGAAGTTAGTTAACCTTAAATATTATTTGAAGGAGAAAATAACTTTATTTTATAGAGTTATCAATTATTATTATTATTATTGTTGTTGTTGTTAAAATTACAATACAGTATGTAATTCGAGACGAACATCATCTCATTTTTCAGTCAATTGAATGATGGAGAAACAAACGATCTGAATCATTGAAAAATAACCGTCAGTCGTTACGAATAAAAGCTAAAACAAAATTTCAACGAATATATAGAAGATTGTTTTTAAGCCTCCTTCAATGACTAAAATTTGAGCTGCATATATCATCCCACTATTTTAGTCAGTTCCATGACAAGGCAACTGATTCTGAACAACATCTATTCTCGGAATCTCACAAGTGACACTAACATTATTTGCATCATACTCCTTAAAACAAGCCATTGCTCCCAACTCCTCAACTTCCTCGATCACATGATCAAGCTTGGCCACAGTCTCCACTAACAAAGAGGCAAAAGCCGCCAACGGAAGCGCCTCCGAGAATTCGAGGCTTGTGATGGCGATTTTGCTCAGCTGAGGCCTCAACATCTTTTGCTGATTATGGTTCTCCCTCTTTCTCTTCCACTCCATTAAGGCCGAGGAGTCGGTCTTCACGCTTGATAGCGCATAGTTCTTTTGTTGGGCGGCACCCGGCTGCACTTCACGCCTCCCCCGCGGAGGATTCTCAGTGGCGGCGGCTGCATGGGCTGCGGCTAAGGCCAGCATGGAGGAGTGGCCCCCGCCCCCTTTTCCTTCGGAGCCAAGGAAGAGGCGGGGCTGCGACTTGATGGCGGTGTTCAGGTCTTGTAAGGCCTCGTGGAGGTGGTCGGAGAGTAGCTCCGGCGAGCAATGGCGGCGGTTTCTTATGCTGTTGGCGAGTTCCATTAGTACTTTTGAGACCTCGCCGGAGAGGCGGATGCAGGGGTCCTTGAAGAGAGCTCTTACTGATCTTGGGGTCTGTATGAAATAAGATGTTTTAATGTGCTAGTTTTATGATTAGGAAGAAAATAAGAGATAACGAATTGATAAAGTTGGTTTTATTGAACATTTCACCAATATGTTTATAAGTTTTGGCCACCAACAATATGAAATTAACTTATCAATTAAAATATAAGACAGAAATAACTAACTCAAATTTTATAAATTAATGATAACATGATAAACTAATTATCACATCAGTTAATGGAAAAGACTGTTAAAAAAAATGTTGACCGTAGTAAAGAAGTGATTTATTTTTATTTTTCTAATTAAAGAAGGGTTGTGAATGAATGTATGTGGAATTTTTTTTTTTTTTTTTTTTTTTTTTGACGTGGAAAAATAGAAGTAACAGAGCAAACAATCTATGGTTGGCTATAACAAAAGTTTTAATTACAAAAAGTACCCCTTTATTTTTAAGATTTTTCACAAATAACCTTTTCTTTCTGAAAATTACATTGAGGTACACATGAATTTCAGTATATAAGTTAGTGTTATTTATACCTGAATTTCTGTTCTCAAACACCCATGTAGAGCTACAACAGTGTATCCGAAATGGCGAAGAACAGCTCCCAATTTTACATATTGCTGCCATGGATATTTGTGACAATGTCTTGAGTGCCTTGGTTCCCAACTTGCATGCAAAGCCTGCTCAATTTGAAGAACAAAAGAATTAAGCAAGTATTAGTGATAAAACTCATATCTAAACTTCAACAATGAAACAAAAAGTCACAAAGAGTTTATTAGTTGAAAACTTGAATTAAAAAAAACCAAGTATTTACTTACCATTGTCTCATCATAGGATTTGGAGTCCAAAACAGCCTTGAAACCTTTGTATATGGGGTCCTGGTCTGGTGATATGTTCTGAGTTTCTTCCATTTCAGTGTCATTGAAATATTCATTCACACAAGCTGCCAAAAATAATAACCCGTAGTTCGTGTAAATTACTATTCAGTACTTTCTACTCTGGTATCATATTAAAAATTCGGCTAATTAGTTGGTTACAGACTAATTTTATTTTTAAGATTATTTTTATTTGTGCCCACAAATTTAAGGGTCATTCCCAATTTATCCTCAAACTTTAAGGCCCTTACTTTGTCCCCAAATGATGTATTACTTCAACTTAACCCTCTCTGTTATAATTATAAAAAAAAGTGAATTAAGTGTTGCCATGTGGTCTTATTGTTAGAATTTATATTAAAAACAAACGGAAAAAATCATATGACACGCTTAATTCAGGTGCAAAGTTGAAATTTTTTTAGTTTGAGGGGCAAAGTGAGAATAATTTTAAAGTTTGGAGGCACGAGCGAGATTGATTCGTATTTTTATGTTTTTAATACAAATAAAAAAAATTATTTTATTGTAATTAACCACTTCAATACACCTTCTATGGATTTGGCTAGGCCTTCAAGCTTCAAAACAGTGGAATTGTGCAGGTCTTCCCCTGACCAGTTTGGGAATACCAGTAGACTCATAAGAAGGCAGGTACCACAGCCTATTGCAATGGTGTAGAACCGTTCATGGGCGATCTTCAACACGTTTTCGACTCGGAAACTCGACACGGTTATCAGATTAAATGTCAGGAGAAATATCAGCACACCATAGTCATAGTTCTTCTTTATGTAGGGAAAAAATCTAATGTATGTTGCTGCAGCTCCTGCCAAGACAAACAGTAGAAAATTCAATAAAAATCAAAGATCAAGACAGTTTTGAATTCGTATATTTGATATTGATTTGTTAAGGAAGTTTTAAGGATTTTGAGAGAATATTTGGGAGTACAAAGATATATAATTGTTTTTCTTATATGGGGTTATTAGTACAAGAATCTTACCTATTTAGTCATGACAAATATCAAATGGTGACAATATTGTTTACCGAATACAGAAAGTGTCACTAATAAGATTGCTTAGTTTACAGAATTCTAAGCTCACCTATCATGAAAACAGAAGCTCCAATGAAAACAGCTCCGAGAATCCGACCGGATTCATTAACAACATACTCGATCAGAAATGCCAATGATCCTGCCAGCAGAGTCCCCAATCCTCTGTTGAGTCCTTTGCATAAAGTTGCCCCTATATGACATGGCTTTGTTGATCATATTTGTCATGAAAAAGAAAATTAATAAAGAGTTTTTAGAAGGGAAAAAAATTATACCTGCAGTGAACTCTAGAACAACAACAACAGTCATGACAGCCCAAATGGCATTATGTCCAATCCCTTCAAACAAAGGCTCTATCAGATACAACAATGAAACCAGTGTCAAGGCCAAACCAACTTTCAGGGCATGGATCACCCTCCTTGGATCCTCTTTCCCGACTTTCCACATCGTCTGCCATGCCAAACCCGGTAATCCTTCTGCCTTCTCGAGAAAATCCATCATCTTTTTCCTTCCCCTCTCTTCATTTTTCCCAGAATCCCCCTTCCCAGCCATGTCCACTTCCATGCCTGCATGAACTTTTGGAACCATTTTTTTTAATTGATGTAATGTTGGATTGTAGGTGAGGATATCTCTACATATATATATGGCTGGCCCAATTGCAATGCACCAAGTCTTTGTTTTTCTGATGCAAGAAAATTTTAAATTTATTCAGCTATGAAACAAGCATGATATACTGATGTTGGTTCTGATAGAGGACTAATAAATGGTGATCAATATGCTAGGCTGGGAGCTTTTTTTTTTGGTTGTGTTATGCAAAACCCCAACTTTCTCTAATGGGCTTGAGTTGGTATTTTATAGATACAATCAACAGGTGTCTTGCTGTATTCACATGTCTTTTTTATTAAAAGTAGACCATGATAGTAATTGTTTGTGGGTTGCTTTCACAAATGGCCAAGAGTCAAAACAAGTGGAAAAAAAAAAAAAAAAAAACCCCAGCTTGATTGATGTAAAAGAATTTGTTTAACTTTTTGATATATAAATAAAAATATTTGTTTATTGATTAGCCGAGGAGGTTTCTATTATCTCCTAGTAAAAAATTGAGATTATCATCAAGTGATCAAATTGTTTTTATTGGGATGCCTAGTAAGCAAAAGATAAAGCTCACAATATTTTAAAAAATAATAAAATAAAAAAACTAATGTTATCTTACCTTCAAACAGTTTTTGTTTTCAGAATCTATGGTTTTCTTACATGATATGGTCTCACCCTTGTACCTTAATCATATGTATTACTTGACAAAAATCTTATAGAAACAAAATTTAGTAGTATTAATTAACATGCTTGACATCCCTTTCAAAAACAAAAAAAAAATAATGATAAAAAAAAAATAAAAGTTGACATGATTTACATTAATGGTTCATATCTGCCACTAATAAGCAAACCATCCCTGTGATTTCGATAGGTTTAATTTCACCTACTCATAGTAAATGGCATGAGTGGGTTTTGTTTTTCTTTTTTAGAAAATACACTAAATAACATATTTTAAACATTATTTTGAAGAAGCATATTCTTTACTATAATTATCCATGTTAGGGTTTCAGAGCCTCATTTATTTTATTAATTTAATTTTAAATTTTAAATTTTATTAGAGTAAAAAAATTTTAAAAATAATTATATTTAATTTTAGGCGAAATGTTTTTTAGGCTAAATGTATAGATAATCAAACTAGAGAAATAATATAGATAATCAAACTAGAGAAATAATATAGATAAAAAAATAATTATATTTAAAAAATTGAGTTTGTTTTAGGCGAAATGTATAGATAATCAAACTAGAGAAATATAATAATTGGAAATTACAAAAACCAGATTACAGCAGATACACAAACAACAAAAATAATATAGAAATTTGAAAAATGTAATCAAAATTTTGGACGAGGAAGAACCCAGAACTGCTCTCATACAAAACATGTATTCGCACCTAGAAATACTCTTATACGAAACATACATATTTCCAAAATTTCAATTAACAATTAATATTATCTAAAATTCCTTTGGTAACGTTTACGTAGCCTAATTTTCTCGACATTTTGCTAAGAAACGTTGCAAGAGATAAAGCTATATATACTCATTTTCAATTATTGATGAACGTAGATTTAAGATGATTCTACACTTTATACTAATTATTAATCAACAGCAGAAAACAAATAACTGTTTTTTTTTTTTTCTTTTTTGCTCAATGAAAACAAATAATTGTATTTGCATGTGATAAGACACATCAAAAATTGGTTTTTTTTTTTTTTTTGGTCCAACTAACCAGGAGAAGATCTAAGTAGTGGCCGTACCGATTTTGACACATTGACATGATGTTCATGTGACATGGTTAGATGAGCAGTACTGCAGCGTTTGCTGACCAATAATGAACCCCACAAAACAAAGTGGTGTCGCAAACTTCTCATGCATTAAAAAACTGCAGCTTATAAGTATGAGGAGTTACAATTTGTCAAGGTCACGGAGTTTCGGTTATAGGCCAGACTATGACTTTCTTCTTTCTTCTCGTAGAATAACTTTAAGATTCGATATTTTTTAACTCTATAAGGATTTCGTCTTGATTAATAAATTATGAAGGCGTCATTCAGTTCACAGATTTGAATTTTTAATTTAAGTTGAAATGTGATTTTATATAAGAATTTTTAACTGTATCGGAAAAAATTAAATGTTACTTTTTATGAGAACTTTTAACTGTAATAAAATTAAAATTAAATACTTAAATCGGTAAAATGAACGAAGCCGAAGTATTAGCTTGTAGCTTGTGATAATCATCAGTACCACATGTGCTCTATAATAGTGAAACAAATCTTTTGAGTAGAAGTAGATCAAATTCTTTTTGTTCTATTGATGAGTTCTTAGATTTCAATTAAAATGAAGAGAGGCCTGAGGAATACGATGATTTAGGGTCTGTTTAGTTCGTTGATTTGAGTTTTTAATTCGAGTTAAAATGTGATTTTATGTGATAACTTTTTACTGTAATAAAAAAATTAAATGTGACTATTTATAAGAACTTTTAACTATAGTAAAATTTAAATTCTAAACTCAAATCGATAAAATGAACGGGCCGTTAATAATTCATTATTTTTTTTTCTTGGAAAGAAAAATAGGTGAGTAAGTAAAATACCGTGTGCTTTGCTACAAAAGGAAGTAAGAGCTTTGTTGTTAACCTAACGTTTTTTTCATTGACCACTTTTTTTGTTACTTTTTGGCGATCTTTAGCTTTGGGCATACATTGGCTGTTGTTCTCAAACAGCTGGGGTCTTTGATTTTTTGAGTTGCAATAACTTGCATCTCCCGTGCATTCTCAACTTCTTCACTTGGGGTCCAACTTAAGCCACGTGGCACACCTGCCCACAACTATTGCTATTGGGGCACTTTTTTTTTTTTTTTTTTTGGCTAAAGATTTTTCTCCTTGACACGGTTCATCAAGATTTTTCTCTTCTGGTGGGTATTTTTTAATTTGTTAGTTTTCCAAGTAAAAAAAATGCTACCACAAAAATCCTCTTTTTTGTGGTGGAGAATATAGAAATGAAATCTTCAACTTTATAAGGGCCAAATTTTTTTTTTTTTTTTTATGATGATGATTTTTCCATAAAAACATGGGAACCTTTTGCAAAAATAAATAAGAGGTGATATTTTTCACGAAATCAAGAATCCAGGAACCCAAATGGACTAAATTTATGGTAAATCAGATATGCATATCAGGATTTGTGGCTCTAATTATTTAAATGCCATAGAATTTCGGTGGAAAAAAAAAAGACTAAATAATATCCACCAAAATAAATCATGAAGGAATAAACAAAGTAAGGTTAATTATTTGACAGATAATAAATCATGAAGGAATAAACAAAGTAAGATTAATTATTTGACCGATTTCAAGTATCCAATAATTGCCAAACATTATTAAGGTTAATTATTCTTTCTTGATGCATATCATATGCATGTACACTTATAGTTTCAAACTTAAAGTAAATAATTGCAATGTCTTTCTTATAGACCCTAAATATATTTCCAGAAAAAGAACCCCCAGCCAGACATATAACTTAAATGTTTTGATTTATAATCCTTCAGTATTTGCCATTGAATTGCATTTAACCGGAGAAAGTGAATCCATTGGAATTACATTGCTTAAGAATTATTATTAGAACACCTAACTTTTTTCTGCACAATATCGTTATTGAATACAAAATAGTGACAGTCAACTCCAATTGGTAACAAAGGTTAAATTTTAATTAAGGATTAATTTTATAAATGCCCCCTGGACTTTGTACCTTGTTTTAACATGTCTTTAAATTTTAAAAAGTATTCATTTCACTCCTTAAAGTATGAAAAACGGTTCAAAATACCTTTTGACCTAATGTCTTTTCATAAATACCCATTGAACTATTGATTTTGTGTCAACTTGTCCCCTGATCTTTTAAAAAGTTAGAGGGTAAGTTGACACAAAAGTAATAATTCAGGAGGTAATAGTTGACTTAAAATCAATAGTTTAGGGCATATATAAAACATACATAGTTTCATGTCTCATTTTGTTAGTTTTATAAATATAGAGGACATTTTGAGTTGGGGTACATGTTTCAGAGCGCGAAATGAACCATATTCAAAGTTCAGGTGGCGTGTTGAAACAAAGTACGAAATTCATGCGGCATTTTTATGAAATTAGTCCTCTAATTAACAATAATCTTTTAGCATTCATTCTCCCAGAAATTCTCGTAATTCGGCAGTAGAATTGCTTCTTTTGTTTTTGGTAATTTAATCCATGAAATAGTCATAGAGTTTCCTTCCGTTAATAATTAGGGTTAATCCAAAGAAATTGCAAAACTAGATCCAATCACATTTAATATGTCCGGCACAAAGTGTTTAGAGGATAATCCTAAGTGCTCTATTTCATAATATCAATATCTGAATATTCTCCGTCGATGAATTTTCTAAGCTCCTTAACATAATAGTCATCAGAAGCAGAAGGGACAATATCGACAGAAGCGCGAGCGGTAGTATTAATAGAAGCTCTAGCAATATTATAGAGGAGCCAGTTACATCCTTAAAAATGCTAACATTAGTTATGGGTAAGGGAGGGGCTTACAATAAAAAAAGCTAAACTTAGTAGAGACTTACAATAAAAAAAGTTAAACTTAGTAGAGACTTACAATAAAAAAAGTTAACATTGTGTTACTGAAATATAATGCTAAAACCTTTAAGTGTTCTTAGAGTACGTTTGCTTCATGTATTTTGAGAGAAAAACACTGTAACAAAAAAGTTGAATTTGAATTAATTTTTCGAGTATTGAAATTCCTGAATTTCATGTCATAGATTTCACACACACTTTCGTATTTGTATTTTAAAAATTTTAATATGGTTTTTAAATGTCATTGTATATCAAAGTTTCAGCTGACATTTTTCTTAAAAATGAGACAGATTTAGATTAGTTGACGATTTTCAAATCATAAGAGCGTAATGAGGCTTATGATGCTTCGCCATAACACATACATAAATAACATCAGCTAATTTATAAATTATACGAGAAAAAAAAAAAAAGAACATATGCATGTATATATCAAAAGACTCGGTCCAAACTTTATCTAACATATGCATGAAAGAAGGTTATGCCCTCACAAAGAGAATACCTGAAATCCCTAGGAATAAAAATAAAGACACTGACAGTTAAAATGAAAAACAAAATACACCCACAATACAAAATATTTGTTTGCACACTCTCGAATACCCTTCAGACAAACACAACACTAACATATCTCGCTATATATAATACCTACATAGAAAACAATGTAAACAAAGGAATGTTCAATTTGCGTATGAGTCACATATATGGTTCAAATATGGATACTCCTGCAAAGACGTCTTTTGTAAAATCATGCTTACTTCCAAGTAGGTTTTGAAAAGCATTAAGTTTAATACAAAAAGCATTTTTTTTTTTTTTTTTAGTTATTCAATATAGGATTTGCTTCTAAATAATGGGAGGTAGAAAACATATCAAAACAGTCTTATCAGAAACCTCGGAGTAGTGAGGATCTAGCTAGATTTGTCACCGCTTGTAACAAATATAAAAGTTATTAGTATCTTAAAGGCCTCTTCGTTCTCAACAACGTCATAATAGGGGCATCTATTTGACTAGCCTAAGGTGTAAATCTGTTTGTCAAAATTGAAAAATTTTGGTTGTCCAATATGAGGCACACGTGGATTCTTTGGATGCAAAAACTCTATTAGATCTCGTACAAGCAACATCTTTTTGTGTAACCCGACTGATTACTGAGCGGTAATCCGACGTAATTTTGTCGACAAAATTTCACCGTCAACACGAACCAAAGACTGAGATGGTTCAGTATGTCAAATAGTCGACCACTGAGTTCAGCATACGGATGCACTCCTTGAAACAATAGACAGTGCAAAACACATTTTACCCTCATTGTGCGGGCTCCATCCCAAATTTTTCACAGCTACAAATTTTTTCTTTTATAAAGAAACATAAGAATTAATAGGTAATAATTTGCAAAAATTAATGTAAAAAAGCCATAACATAGCATCAGAAAACTATTGAGAAAATATCTAAACTATCTTTATGACAAATATTGCATTGGGAAGTTTTTGAAAGGATCTTCTGGCAAAATCACACAAAAAATTCTACTTTGTCATAGTAAATATTGGTTCTTCATTGTTCCTAAGCTCCAACACTAGATCATAACCTGTTGGAATTCTTTTTTTTTTTTTTTTTTTTTTTTTTTTTCAGGAGGGGGGTTGGAAATCCTTTTTCATCAACCTTTCCCTAAGTTCTCTATTTTTTTTATCTCCTAAACATCGTCCAATCTACCAATAATTTTGCCCTTAATACGTCATTAAAGATAGCTGTACCAGTTTGAATAAACCTTCAAGACTTGTTCGTTAGAAAGAATGTCAAAAGACTCAAAATCTACCTTTTCTTGCATAAGGAATTTCAACTACTTTACATGCCTAATCCGCAACAAGAGATACTCTCGTATGTAAAAATAAAAAATAAAAAATAAAAAATAAATCAACACGACATATTTACTACATGCGGCGTCAAAATTCCCGACTTCTTGATCAAATGTAAGGAAGCATTTCTTATTTTCCCATATTCTTTTTGATATATTGACTGACAGATTACAATTCTCTTATGATAATTGCTTTGATTAAATCTTACTGTCATAAACTATAATTCTCTTACGATAGTTGCTCTGATTAATTATCCTTGACATAGACTAATTCTTATCCATGAGTTTTTACTTCCCTTGTAACTTTTCTAAGATAGCCTGTGCTTTCATATTTCCTTCTCTTTCCTGACAATTATATCCATCTAAATTTAGGATTTCAGTTTTCTTGTAAGTTACTACTTCATGCTCTATGACCTTTAACTCACATGACTGTTATCTTAGCAAAATTTATTTATGTCTAATGATTCCACTTAATTTATTATTATCAAAGTCTATTTTAATAAGAGTTTAAACAGTTGTTACTATCAAAGTCTCTTTTACAGTCAAAGTCTCTTTTAATAAGAGTTTAAACAGTTATTATTACCGAAGTCTCTTTTAATAAGAGTTTAAACAGTCATATATATATATATATATATATTCATAAAACAGGTCTTCTCTTTGTAGAAGTTTAAATAACCATCATTATAGTCATAACTTTTCTTTTATCTCTAATATTCAATTAATCTTCACTCATTATTTTATAATCTACAATATGTACCCTCTTTCTACTAAAACTACCATCTGGACCCCTTGTTTTCCTAATTATTATATTACTTATATCTTTTCTTCTTCATGTTTGTAAACTGTATTCAAATTTGTCAATTCTAAGTACACAATATATAAAATACTTCATCAATTGCTCTGTTATTCTATTTTTGATCTCTATGTTTCAAATCCGTATCTAATTTGAAATTTTGAACTGATTTCTTATAACTACTTTATACTTGAAAATAAAAAATAATTGCGAATTCTCACTTTTCTCCACACAAAAAAAAAAAATGCTCTTACACTTATTCTCTAAAGACACTCGCATCTATTTCAAATAATTCTCACGTTTCAAAATAAAAACTATTCTTACGGTTATTCTCTAATCACAATGACATGCTTAAAAACTGTAAAAATTACAATTGTAATTTATCGCACGTGCTTCTACCTGTAAATTACGGTTGAATTTCCTCCTTTATAGCATGTGCTTCTTATCTTCCCACCAGCATAATTCATTTTCACTTGTGGAAACGGGTTACGAAACCGAACTAAGCACTTCAATTTCATGAAATCAAGGAGGAATAAACCTGTTCTTCGACGCTTTAAAAAATTAATCACCAAGTTTTCCAGGAAATGTAATCGTAGTTATTCCGATTGACTGCATAACAGAGCATGAATCATCTGATTCGGTTATACAATCAGCAAGTATGCCGATATTCCTAATCTAATGCACACAGATAGAAAGAGAAGAGATGGGTTAGACAAAAGAATCTACATATAAACACTTTTAGACCACAGCAGACCTTTAGAAACGATTTCCACAGAGTCGGCATGCTTCCGTTTCCGATGAAATCACGGTCTACTGTCCCGTATGGGATTGGCAAATCAGTTTCAAATCTAAGCATGGCGTACCAGTTTCTTCCCAACAAGTGAACAATTTGGGCCTGAGCAAAGTGATGCATTGATAATTTGCTGAAGGTTACAACAGAGGCTTTTCTTTAGCCTTGCTGCAAAAGAAAAGTTCATTTTTGCATTCTTAAACCAGCAGACAATGAGAAAGAGATGACAGGTTGACAAGATTCATCCCTTCTTCAAAAACTTCTTCGCTTTACTCGAGAAGTTTCTGGTCATACTTCTGTCAGCGAATGTCAGAGGTAGCTCTTCCTCGATGGCTTCTCTCTGATCAGACCATCCTGTGGAACCACTTTTGTCTTTTGAGTTACTTCCATTACATTCTTCGTGTGAGTTGGAATCTTCGGGATCTTCAGGTATATCTCGATACAAGTGTTTTAATATGAACAAGGCGGTATCACAATCCCTCCAATAGTTTCTGCGGTCCAGGATGCAAAGCTTGAAAGAAGTCGATGGATGTATATAATCTTGAAACGGCAGTATGCATGCGTGCACATGCACATTTTCTTAATAGAACTGGAAAAAAAAAAAAAAAAAAGAAGCAAAATGTATACGTACGTATGTGATCCAATAGCAGATATATATGGATGTCGGAATGTTTTATCCTGTATGATCAACACAAAAGCTCACATTGAGGGATCAAGTGTATGCTAATAATATTACCAATAACAAGTGATAAAACCCTAATCCTTATTTGCAGCTCGGACATCTGTTTGACCATATAGATAGAGCTTGCTTTTTGAAGGCAGCTGAGCCAGCACCACAAGCAGCATCAGCTCAAATCTATATCCTTGGTTTGATAAGAATAATGCAATCAAAACACGAATAAAATCAAAGAAGACCATACCAACTTAAATTCATAAGCATTCAAATTTCACCGAGTTAATTTATTCATGGTTCGTGATATACAGTGACATCTAAGCTCAAAAAGAAAAGGGTAAAACAAATTGATTATGCATACAGGTCATATTGTAAGATGAAGTTACAACTCTGACATGCTGTTGAAATTGAAGTTTCTCCTGCATGACTAAACCAGTGTTACAAGTTTCTGTTCCAGATATAGGGAGAGGTGCATGGATGTCATTTTCAAAACCAAATTGATAACTTCATTAGTAATAAAAGTCCACCACAGTAACGGTAAACATGCAAAATTTTTGCAAAAAGTTAGTTTGCAGGGTAGATAGATAAAGGAGCATATAAATGAGTGAACCAGCATGAGCTCGTGTGGGTGAAGCTACCAACCTGAAGCACATAATCAAACCGTCCTGTGTTTCCAGTTAATCTTTCCATCATAAGAGAACCATAAGATTGCTCTTCCTTTTCTTGCACAATTTCATTTTCATCTGCAATCCAACAAAAGAACAGGGCACGCTTAAAAAATAGCTTTATCTTTGACCCCGCCGCGCTAAAAAAAATGAGGTAGGTAGAAGAAAAGATGGTTCATCTTTGCCAAAGCAAAGGTAAATAACTAGGTACTAGAGCAAAGAGAATAAAGTAACGCGGAAAATAAAGCATGATAGCTTAAAGGATAAAGAATGAAACTACCATCCATGTTATCTGCGTTTCTCGACTGACAAACCGTGAGAACTTTAACCTGTTCAATAGAAGTTATTTAGTACTATGATAGCTGCTCGCATATTGCCAGAAATTGAAGCGCAGTTCCCTTACGGGTCACATTAGGGCTTAATAAATAAAGTGAAACATAGGTATCATGGATAGACCGTACCAGACTTGAAAACAAAATAATAATAATAATAATAATAATAACAAGAAATCGCAGAGAAGACCAATAATGCAATGTATATGACCAGAAATTTTGAAACAACTACTGCATCAGATGTAATCAAAGATCTTTTAAATATGTAAAAGACAAGAATTAATTCATGAACAGGACCCTACCCTTATGGAGTATAGACTGTCCTTAATAGCTTGAGACCGAGCAGCTAAATCTTCAGTAAATTCCTACAGCATTCAGTGTCTTCAGAGAGAAGCAGAGAGCGGAAAGAGTGACAACAATATATGCTTCAAGCGTTTTACCTGAAATCCAATATATAATCTCTTTCCACCCTTGTGGTAAGGTACAATAACAGGTCGTTTGCTGATGTATTCTTTACACACAAGTGGTTCTATTCTGTAGAAAAATACAAGAAAAATATTTTTCTAAACAGAACCCAGAAAAGAGTATACAAGGAGGAAAGTAATCTATGCACTGTATGCAAACGTCTTATAAATTGGCTATGTGTGCAAAAATTGGCCTCTAATAATTTTTTAGCACTATATTAAAGATTGTAACGGTTATGAGCAATTTGACAGGCCACCAGGTGGAGCTTTCGCTTGTGTATTACAGAGTGAAACTAATAGAAAATAAATACTTAAATCACGTGAAGGTTAGTAATGGTACTATGATGCCTTACGTAAATCAATATGCAAAAAAACGAGCTTACACCTCCCCTAGTTGATAGGGAGGAATGGTAACATCAGCAATGGAAAAGTATTCCACCCGGGCATAAATTTAAATGTTAAGCAATCCAATTCTTAGAACATGAAGCTTAAGTGTTACATCCAACGGAGATGAAATTGACTAGTTATCTATCATGTCGCTGAAACCCATATAGCTAAAATCATTCTAAACACAAGTAGAAGAATAGGCTGTTGGATTAAGTTCAGACTGGTTAACAGAAGTTCAACTCTTTTATATGGTAGGGCTGCCTACTTCCTTTGACACTTACCTATTATTCACCTTTCATTAAACATAACTTTCTTTTGTCACTATTCTTATATAAGATGTCCCTTAGCATTAAAACTTTGTATAACCAAAATCCTCTTTGGTCAAAAGAAGATAAAAAATAAATATTTGCATCACGAGAAAGAAGCCAAGTATACCTGTATGCCACAGGATCGAAAGGGTGAAAGATGTTGAACATTTGCCGGCAAGCAGGCATTTCTTCATTGATCTTTTCCTCGGCCCAATATTCTTGCCCCTTACCTGGAATAGAAAAATAAAACATGTTAAATCTGGTAATACGAGTCTCAAAATCCAAAAGCATATTTGGATCTCTACAAATGATTTTTTTATTTTTTTAAATTGAAGACAAAAGGAAGTACAAAAGTAAAGACACAATCATAGATAAATGCACCAGACACCTTGAAACATCCGTTAGCTACCCATATTCGTAATTCTATTTTAAAAACAAAACTCTGTTAATTCTAGCTTTCTCATTTTCCCAGATAAGTTAAACTCTGTTGCTTCATACAAAACAAAATTACTGTTTTTGTAAGACTTAAGTAATTTGGTTGATATAATACATATAGACCTACGTACTCCTAAAGGAGAAGCATGAATAGCACGTAAAGAATATAAAACTCCAGTCCCAACAACTACTATTACCAAACAACCCTCTTATGAAAGCATATATTACCAATCCCGATTCGAATATTGCGAAGAGCAAGGAAGACTCCAAGAGGTGATCCAACAGCGAAAAAGGTGTCAACCTGAAAATGATTTTCAAGAGAGAAAAGTCTTGTGATTCACATGATTTACTAAGAATACGCAGAAAGTTAGAAAAGATCCGACCAAAGTAATTCACGAGATTGTATATGCTCTAAAAAATTTAATCCTTTTCCACCTTAAATTCAAGTTTTGTGTATCTGATATAAGGTGTATAGCTCTTTGATGAATCATCTTCCTCAGGTGGCAGCTGCTCAGATATCGGATCCTTTATCATAGCTGAAAGCACCTCCTTCTTTTCTGTTTACGTTTTAACACCAAAAAAAAAATATATATATATATATATATAGATATATTATCAAGTGCATGAAAGCCCGTGCCCGTAGGCTAGGCCTAGAACAAGAATGAATGAAAAAAGATATAGCAAAAATCAGCAATTACCTTGGTGTACTTTTCTACTACTGTCTCCATCACCACATTGTGATTCTAATTCTGCTATTTTGACTCCTAGAGAATTAACCTGAAAGAAGCAGATGTTCGTTCTGTAAGAAATATAGACAATGCCAACGAAAGCTATAAAGAATAGACAACATGAAATATTTAACCTCTTTCTGCAGTAAGTGTATCATTTTATCTTTATCAGTTATATCTTCAAAATCTTCTTCAGCCATGTTTCCTAAATCGTCATTAGTGACTCCACCATTGATGCTTGTTGCTTTGTCCAAACTATCACCTTCACATGGAACCTTCTCGTTAGAATTAGAAACTGACTCACGCACATCTTCCTCATCACCTGGTTGCTTGGGATCGATAACCCTTGTAGTGAACTCATCAAAATCAGACGTAACAGGACTCGCAACAGCAGAAGCATCTCCGTTAGTTTGTTCAGATCCATCTTCATCGTGTACGAAAAGAGTTGCTTGTGCATTCCTCTTGCCATCATCATCATGGCTCACCATGCCCTCAATTTGACCAATTTCAGAGGACCCTTTATCCCCCAGATTATTTTCAGAGTCACAAATGGAAGCTTGATCATTCATATTGGAGGAAGGTTTTTCATCTTTAGGTTGTTCATTGTACATCCACTCCATTGGAAATGGGGAGGACAGATTTTCCTGATGGCAAAGAATATCATAGGAGAGGACACTCCCTAAAGAATGACCATATATGGAAACCTGTATCATTGGCAGAATAAGATAAGGATATTTACAGCAATTCAGAAGTTGGTCATACCATGAGCTTAAAACAAAAGTAAAAACCTCTTTCAAGTTTCAACCATGCACCTTTCCATTATAACCAGGATTTCTCTTGAGAAACTTCAGATACAAGCGATTCAGCTGATTAGATACCTGGTCCGAATGAAACTGTACATCAGTTCATGAGACATTGTGATCAATGACTCTAATGAAGTGCGGCATATTTCACGTCAACATGCACAAGAGTGCACCTAATAACCAGAGACCGATGATGATTAAAAAAATTGACACCAACACCTAAAAGACATATATCTTCATCACAAAACCCAATATTGCTCTTTGAATATATCGCACCATTCAAAATTAAAATCAATAATTAATACCTCAAACCAAAACCACATCTACTCTTAATTTTCAATTCTTAATTCTTCGACGTCTATTACATTTCAGCCGCCACTAATTGCATAAGCAAGAGTGAATATATATGTATATTATGGGGAAGCCAACAGAAATACTTTATGCAAAAACGCTCTTTCATGAAACAGTGCTAAATAACAAATTTAGACTACAACATTAGTTTCCAATAACATCACTGTTGCCCCCCTTTGAAGGCAGGCAAACTGACCTATTTGCACTTCAGTCAAAGTTAAATACAGACGCCATCAAGAGATTTATTTCTTTGACTCTGATTTTATGTTATCCCTTTGTTCATCGAATCGTTTTCTTGCAAAAATTAATCAAGAGAAATTTTAGAAGGTATTTCTGCCAATCAGTAGATCTAGAATAAATGGAAATTTATTCATGAAAATTTTCAGTTGTAAACTATCCTACTAAAAAATAACACAAACAACTTCATTACGTGGAAGAGACAAGAATGAAAGTCACTAGCGTGTGTGCACACATACACCATAGACATATATGTATAATGAAGCTTTCATCTTCATCTAGAAAAACCAAAATTAAAAAAATAATTGATTCTACAAGAGATTTAAAACAAAAAGGCACATAAATACATAGCAGAACTAAGAATGCACTACCGAGTTGATAATATCCTGACAGTAGATGGGGCTCATGTAGTATAATACATCATGAACAGTTGCACTCAGCATAACACGAAAACCCCTCACACCATCTAAAGTAATTTTCTCGACTGCACTTTCCCCGCTGAGTTTCAAACCCTTTCTCCACTGAAACACAAAAGTTTGGATTTAATAGTCACAATTGTGTACGTCATAATGCACAGAGTAATACATAAGTTGATATGCATGAATCCGTAACACATCGTTCAAATATGCAAAAACCATAGCTAATCAATCACCCAAGTCAGAGATGGGAAAACAAAAACAAAGCAGCTGGCATTAAGCAGATTATCCAAATCAATACATATGGGTGGTTTCTCATAGATACACATGAATTCTTAGTTAGACATGTTATTGTTAACATAAGCACTTCGCTAGCTCCCTCTTTAAAAATCTGCCACCGTCAGCTTATCTCCATGACTAGAAAAGTACTTACAAAGCAGCCATATTAACCATCTAGAGCCGACTGTGAAATCAAACCATACAATTCAGAACTCTATGTTAATAGCTTCAATAATATTGTTGGAAAATAGGAAAGAACCCGGATATTGGAGATTAGGAAAGAATCCGGATATGTTTTGTATGTTTTAGGAAAGTAGATAGTTGACTTCCTATAATTGATGTGTAATTAATTCCTGTTTTGAATAGGTGATTTGTTTCCTTTTTTCTGCTATAATCACAGCTGTAATGACAGCATGTATACCGTATATCCTTGTGTATATATAGCCATGTTTTTGGCTCAACTAATACAAGAAATTTTTCTCTCAAAACTACATGGTATCAAAGCCATCATCGGCCTTCATAGCCCTTGCTATTTCCAGCCTTCATTACCAGAAATTCCTACCAATTTGCTGTCTACAGCCATTCGTTTCTGTCAGTTTTTTCTTTAGAAACCTTTGTTATTTCCAGCTTTCAATTCTTCCCTTAGCCTGAACAACATGTCTGAGGTTACGTCTTCCAAAACTGCTGCACAATCTGAGGAGTCTACAATGCAACAAACGTCTGGAGATCTTCAAAACATGCAGGCAGCGTATAGGTTGAACGGAAGAAACTACTTAAAGTGGTCTCAATTTGTGCGAACCTACTTGAAAGGGAAAGCATCTTCTCAGGATAGGACCAAAGGAGAATGACCAGAGTTTTGGAGCATGGGATAAAGCGGACTCTATGATTATGTCTTGGTTATGGAATTCCATGAATCCAGAAATCAGTGACACTGTCATGTTGTTCTTATCCACGGCAAAGGAGATTTGGGACGCCATTCGACAGACATATTCGAAGGCTCGCGATGCAGCACAAATTTTCGAGATCAAAGTCAAGGTTAGCGGAACAAAGCAAGGTAACAAAACTGTGACTGAATATGCCAACTTGTTGAAAAATCTGTGGCAGGAACTCGACCACTACCGGTGTATTGAAACCAAATGTCCCAAAGATGCAGCAATCCCGAAAAACTTCATCGAGAAAGATCGAGTTTATGATTTTCTTGCAGGACTTAATGTTGACTTTGATCAAGTTAGAGTTCAAATTATAGGCAAAGAAGAATTGCCATCTCTGAATGAAGCAATCTCTCTAATTCGTGCCGAGGAGAGTCGCAGAGGGAATACGCTTGAACCTCAAAAAGTGGACGGATCTGCAATGGTAAATTGCTGCCGAACCACCATCAAGGGAGAATGGAAAAGCAGAGTTATCAAGGACCCGAAATCAAGACAATAAAGACTATGGTGTAGTTACTGTAAGAAATCGAGACACACTAGAGAGAACTGCTGGAAGTTACATGGCAAACCGCCAAGCAAGGAATGGAATCAACGAGGAGCTCCACAGAGAAACTAGAGTCAAGCCAATACCACTGTGAATCAAAATCATACCAGTTTGGAAAGGCACCCGAGTCCGAGAAAGATTAGAGAGGAGATAGACAAACTGAGAGAACTCTTGGGTTCCCTGGAGAAACCTACTAGTGCGTGCTCTCTTGCACTCTCAGGTAAGTTTTCTGTTTCTCAAGGATTAACTGTCTCGATTAATAGTATCAAGGATTTATGGATTATTGACTCCGATGCCACTGATCACATGACTCATTCTTCACTAAGTTTCAGCACTTATATACCCTGTCCAAGCATTAGAAATATAGCTGTCGCAGATGGTTCCCTTGTTGCTGTAGCTGGTCTAGGGGATATCCATATTTCTCCATCTCTCACTCTAGAAAACGTGCTTCATGTTCCTAAACTTTCCACCAACATGATATCCATACAAAGACTTACCCATGACATGAACTGCAACGTACTTTTTCATCCTTCTTATTGCCTATTTCAGGACCAGGTTTCGGGGAAGAGGATTGGACTTGCTAAGGAGAGAGACGGACTATACTATCTAAAGGAACCAGGCAAATCTAATAATGTCAAGAAAAAAATTTTCTTTTTTGTCACTATCAATAAAGAGACCATTTGGCTCTATCATTTTAGACTAGGACATCCATCTTTTGGAATCCTAAAAATTATGTTTCCATCCTTGTTTAAAGAATTGGGCAATGAACACTTTCATTGTGACGTTTGTGAACTTGCAAAACATAAACGTGTACCTTTTCCAATCAGAAATGAAAAATGTTCTATTTCGTTTTATTTAATTCATAATGATATTTGGGGACCATCGACAATACCAAATGTTTCTGCTCACGATGGTTTGTTAAGTTTATTGATGATTGCACTAGGGTGTCTTGGATCTTTCTTCTTAAATCAAAATCTGATGTTAGCAGTGTTCTTCCAAATTTTCATAACATGATTCAAAACCAGTTTGGGGTTAGAATTTAAAGATTTAGGTCAGATAATGCCAGGGATTACTTCAATCAAACCTTCTCTCCATACTTTCAAAAAGAAGGCATTGTTCATGAATCTTCGTGTACTAATACCCCTCAACAAAATGGTATTGCAGAAAGAAAAAATGGTCACCTATTAGCAACCACTCGAGCTCTTCTTTTTCACCAAAGTGTTCCAAAAAATTATTGGGGGCAAGCTGTTCTCACAGCCGCATACATGATCAATTGACTACCCTCGAGAGTTTTGGGGTTTAAAACACCATTGGAAATTCTTTCTAAGTTCTATCCTAATCTCAGAATCACAAATAATCTCATTCCTAGGATTTTTTGGATGTAATGCATTTGTTCACATTCATAGCCACAACAAGGGAAAATTAGAACCAAGAGCCATTAAGTGTGTTTTTGTGGGATATTCTTCAACTCAGAGAAGGTACAAATGTTTTCATCCACCTACCAAAAAAACCTTTATCTCTGTTGATATTACATTTGAGGAAAACAAACCATATTTCACCCAACCTTTTATCTTCAGGGGGAGTCATTGCCATCTATGGAAGATAAGGACATGGACACATTTCTGCTCGACCTACCTCCTACTTCCTTGCCTCCTACTTCTACTTCCTTCCCTCATTCTCAACCTAAACCTCCTAAGTCAGTCGAGCCAGTAGCCGAGTCACCTAGGTTATCCCAAACAGAACCTGAACCATCTCATGAACCATCTCAAACAGATCAAACTCCTCCACCAGTGACTAAAAATGAAACACTCCATGACACATTTAGGTTTGATCAAGTTTACTCTAGGCGTAAGGCTCCGGATCCTACTCCTGCAAGTCCAAGAATCACAACCCACTCCTAAAATTGAGGTAAGTACAGCTCCAAACATTAATTCTTCTCAGATATCCAATGATTCTCACCTTCCCATTGTTGTTAGGAAAGGTACAAGGGAATGCACTAAACATCCTTTGTATACTCTAGCAAAATTTGTCACTTGAAAATTTTTCACCTTCACATAAAAATTTCTTGGTCAAGTTGAATACTATTCATATTCCTAATACTATTTCCGAGGCATTATCTGATGAGAAATGGAAAGTTGCTATGAGAGAAGAAATGCAGGCACTTGAAAAGAATAGTACATGGAGGTTGTTGATCTGCCGCCGGGGAAGAAAGCCGCGGGATGCAAATGGGTGTATACAATGAAGTACAAGTCAGATGGTTCACTTGAAAGATACAAAGCCAGACTTGTGGCAAAGGGATACACGCAAACTTATGGTGTTAACTATCAGGAGACATTTGCTCTAGTGGCTAAAATGAATACCATCAGAATCCTGCTATCACTGGCTGCCAACACTTCAACTGGTATTTAGATCAGTTTGATGTAAAAAATGCTTTTCTCCATGGTGAGTTAGAGGAGGAGATATACATGGAGATTCCTCCAGGATTCAAAGGGAATATGGGAGACAACAAGGTGTGCAGCTTGAAGAAAGCATTATATGGTCTCAAGCAATCTCTTATAGCCTGGTTTGGAAGATTCTCAAAATTAATGCTGGCCACCGGATACAGACAGAGTCAAGGAGATCATACACTATTCATCAAGCACTTAGATTCAGGGGGAGTAACAGCTCTCTTGGTCTATGTTGATGACATAATTATAACTGAAAACAATGAGAAGGAAAAAGAAGCCTTGAGAAAGTGTCTAGCCAAGGAATTTGAGATGAAGGAACTTGGTAGACTAAAGAATTTCTTAGGAATTGAAGTAGCTCATTCCAGTGAGGGGATCCTTATTTCACAGCAGAAATATGTCACAGAGCTCTTGAAGGAGATGGGAAAGTTGGCATGTAAACCAGCATCCACACCGGTCAACATAAATCACAAGCTGGGCGAAGCAGGAGAAAGTCCAGCAGTAGACCAGGAAAATGTACCAGAGGCTAGTTGGGAAACTCATCTATTTAACACATACGAGACCAGACATTGCATTTGCCGTAAGCATTGTGACCCAGTTTATGCAAACTCCCAAGGAGGCTCATTTGCAAGCAGTAAATAGAGTACTACACTACCTGAAGGGAAATCCTGGTAGAGGTATTTTATTCAGAAGGAATGGTGGAATGTCATTTGAGGTTTATACCGATGTAGATTATGCAGGCTCTCATATTGATAGACGATCTACCTCGGGTTATTGCACGTTTCTTGGACGTAATCTCGTGACATGGAGGAGTAAGAAGCAGAATGTGGTAGCAAGATCAAGCGCAAAGGCAGAATTCAGAGCAATGGCATTAGGGATATGCGAGTTACTATGGATCAAGATAATCCTAGAGGACCTAAAAATCAAATGGGAAGGACCTATGAGATTACTATGTGACAACAAGTTCGCAATCAGTATAGCTCATAATCCTGTGCACCACGACCGAACAAAGCATATCGAGGTACATAGGAATTTGATAAAGGAGAAGTTGGATAGTGGACTGATTTGTACTCCATATATCTTGACTAAAAGTCAACTCGTAGATGTACTCACCAAGGGCCTGGATAACATAGCATTCCAAGGAATTATCTCCAAGCTAGGAATGAAAGATGTATACTCTCTAGCTTGAGGGGGAGTGTTGGAAAATAGGAAAGAATCCAGATATTGGAGATTAGGAAAGAATCCGGATATGTTTTGTATGTTTTAGGAAAGTAGATAGTTGACTTCCTAGAATTAATGTGTAATTAGTTTCCTGTTTTGAATAGGTGATTTGTTTCCTTTTTTCTGCTATAATCACAGCTATAATGACAGCATGTATACCGTATATCCTTGTGTATATATAGCCATGTTTTTGGCTCAACTAATACAAGAAAGTTTTCTCTCAAAACTACAAATATGTCCCAAAATAATAATAAAACAACCTAACACAGCATCTGGACCCTGTAGGTGGCCCAATTTCCAATGCCTGAGCATTGATATTGTCCTGATCATGGTTTGTTAATAGGAAATGCCAAGGGACTCAGAATCGAGGAAACTAGCTTCTCACTCTTCAACACACGAATCATTTAAGAGAAAAAGACTGACCAAAGGGCAATTGCTCATTTCATCCATCATCCAAATAAACATTATGAACATTTAAAGACACATGAATTCACCACGTTCCCACCGTGTTTCCATATAACTTGAGGCCAAAAGTTGCAAACAAACAAACTCACAAGATTCAACATCAAACGAAATAATTTCATACCTGGCATGGGATATAAAGGACTCTCTGGGTGCTGCGTTGGTGTGAAGTAAGGTGTAGCTCAGCAAGACTCGCCGTAATATGGCGAAAATTACCAACGTCATCAACCAAATTAGATTTCTCTAATCTTTGACCAATGCCATGAACCATAAACACAAGGTGTCGAACAGGAACCTAACCAAAATACACAATTTTTAACATTATATATCCATGAGGAAAAACATTACGTCAAATAAAGTGGTCCACTTGTGGAATTACTAATGGAGAATCTCACACAATGTCGGGAAATATGACATGCACTGCAGGTTTAGCAATGTAAACAGTGCAAAATAATATAACAATAAATGGAAATGTTACCGCATATACCTGTGAACAGTAATCATGCATTTCCTCTTCCTTCTGCTGACGTAATTCATCCTAAGTGAAAAGGAAAAAAGAAAAAAGAAATTAATAGGAGAACGTACTGTCTCTAATCATGTCTCTTATTGATAAATAACGGATTAACTTCACCAATCTGTAAATGAATTCATACTCTCCCGTGTCCTGCTTATTGACAATACCTGTTTAACTTTCCTCCTATTAGGTATGTGAAAATTGGCTCTATCATGTGAAAATTACAATCAAGTGCTTACAAAAAGAAAGCTAATGGAATGATAACTCAAAATGAAAAATTTTAAGCTAAAAAGAACCTCTAGGTAGAGTCAATAATTCAACCAAAAAGAATAAAAGCTAATCATTGCATTGAAAAGTACGGATCGACCACAAGAAAATGATGAGGGTAGCTGTAGCATTAACCACAACCTGGGTTGGTTTTGGTGAGTCAGATTTAGAATATCCACGTCGTAACTTGACTCCATTTCCACCCAAAGGAATAACACTAGAAAATCCGGAAGGATCAACATGGAGCCAAGCCTCCCAAGTATCATCTTCTCCAACAAAAAGTGCATGCAATCCCTACAAATGAAATCCAAGATGAATTTACGTATCAGGGTTGATTATAAGAATCGCAAAATCTTAGGCATAAATAAAGCTTTGCACCTACTGGGGTAGATCCTTGCAGATCAACTCGAGCTGCAAAAAGTCCCGAGGGTTGAAATCTTCTACGGTGCCAAACCTGAAATAAAAAACCAGCTAAAGCTCTATGATCTTGTTTCTAAATTAAGAAAAAATAAATAAATAAATAAATAAATAAGAAGAAGGAGAAGGATGAATGAAGATACTAAATTTGATGTGGAAAGATTGTATAGGCTCATAAACATGGCAAGAGTCCACAAACCTGGCCACGGTATGCAACCTCCAACTGTTCAGCTACATCTTCACGAAGTGGAAGCCAATCAAGGCCCCCTTTACGAGCAAACCAATGACCTCTTAAAACACGTCCATTTTCTCCACTCCAATAAACAGGAAAACAGTGCCTCCTCACTAAATCTACCTGCATAAGTTCAGGTTAGAGAACTTAAATCCACTAATTTAAATGAAATTAAAAGGGCTTCAAAGTGGACATTCAGGTCAGAACCAAATGTATTATAACAGAACTGCAACATCATACTAGCAGGTATATAGATCTCATGCGTCATGGTAAAGCATGAAAGATCACTTATGTGTATGTTTGCAGCATCCATCTTTTCGGAGAAAATTGCAAATTGCTTAAAGGTGATCCAAGAACATAAGTAACCATGTGTGTGGTATGGGAAGACTACATTATCAGGTGAGATCTGTCGTAACATAATCTAAAATCCAATTATCAACCTTTCATCTCTGCATGTCAGAAGTTAAGATACCCATGGCCTCCTTCCAATATTGGATTTGCTAAAGTTTAACTTGACCAGTCAGACGAACACAGTGAAAACTGTAAGCAATAAGCATACCTCATAAAGCCCTCCCTTTACAGGCACACCAACTCTCTCTTCTTCCGCGTTGTATAATTGTGCTGACTGCGCACTCTCTGAAGAAGACATATTGGGCTGTGAATCCAACTTCCCACCGGAAATGGGACAACCACTTGGCCCCTCACTACACTCTGCATATTCTTTCCACCAGTGAAAAAGCAACTCCTCCTCCCTCTGTAAACGTGCAATTAACATATAAGTAACTAATCTATTGCCCTGCCTGGTATTTAACCAGAGTCACCTCCATCAAAAAATGCACATTCAAGTCAAAATTTCAGAGAGAGAAAGATAGCATAAATTAGTACTTCAAGCTCAAGCTCAGCTGTCAGTAACAATATTTTTGTCCCGAGTATTAGATTTTTTTTTTCGGTGCAAGGAAAAAGCTTTCTTCCATCTAAGGCAGCCTGAACAACTCGGAATTAGATGAAAGCATCAATAAAGTGGTAGAATTTGAACATATCTACAACTGGGTTATTAAATAAGTTGATAAGAGGAACAAAATCGCAGAAAAACATTCTAGTTACAGAACCTGGCAACGTCTGAGAGATGTGGTAAGAACGAAGTATCAGCTACGGATGTTAAAAGATTTAACAGAAAGCAAACAAAGCTTAAACAAATGACCTGCAAAAAAGATGCCTCAATTGCAAGAGAATCCCTCATACCAAAACGAAAATATTCGCCCTTTCCTACTATCTCCGTGCGAGGGACAGAAGCAGCCAGCTCTGTTTAAACCCATTAAATAATACAAAAAGACTTCAAATTTCTCAGCTTTGAAATCAGATTAAACAGAAAAAAAAAAATAACAAATATGGAGGCGTACCGTTATCGGCCAAAGGGACCTTGCAAAAGAACCACCGAACATCGCCGCCGTCGGAGGGACTCCGAGTCTGCGCGAGGTACTTCCGCCGAGCCGTACAGTGTTCGATCACATCCTCCAATCTCGCAATGTTCGAAGGCGTGTTCTTCAAGGAATCAGGCGACGCTTCCTCGATCACGCCGGCGCCGGCGGACTCCGGGACCGGCGACAAAGAGCCTCCTTCTCCGTCGTTCATTTCAATGTTGGAGCCCGGAGCTTCGCGCTTCGCCTCGGAATCCGCCATTAGAACGGCTCCGAAGCGGTGATTGTTCGAATTAGGGATTCGGTGTTGGAATCCAGAATCGAACTTGGGAATTTCAACGGAAAATCGAGCTTGTTCTGGAAAATTCGAGAAGGATAATCGTTTGCCTTTCTAGTATTGGGAAATGGAAATGTTGGAAACGGGAGCAGTGGAAAATTGCAGAGAGAAAAAGGAAAGGAAAGAGAATATTGTTGGAAGAGAAGAGAAGAACGACAGGTCTGACTGGTGGACGATCTCGAAAGAAAGAACGACAACGCCACGTAGAAATGGCGGTTACGTGCTTTCTCGATTTCTCTCTTACTCTTTCTTTTTTTTTTTTCTTTTTCTCTCTTTTTTTTCATTTTTTATATAAAAAATGTTTAGTTAGAGAATTTAAATTATTATTTAAATTTTAATTTATAATTTATTATAATATTTTTTTTATAAAAATATACATAAATTAAAAATAATTCTAATATTACGTGATTCTAATCTATCAATTAAACGTTTTAAGGCCTCGTTCGTTTCGCTGATTCGAGTTTAGAATTCGAGTTTTGCTACAGTAAAAAGCTCTCACAAACAATCACATTTAACTTTTTTACTACAGTAAAAAACTCTCACATACAATCACATCTCAACTCAAATTCTAAACTCGAATTATCTAAACGAACGAGGCCAGTTATTATGAATTTTGCTGCAATTCCACTGAGCCTGTTTTTGGAATGTCATTCAACAACTTTTTTACTCTCACCTGCCGGTTTTGGTGAAAAAGATACGTTACTTTCACGTATTTCAAGATGGAGTCATAAAGGGTATAATGTTTTGTGTGGGAGGATTGTTTTGTCTTTATGTGTTGAAAATAATATTATAATGTATTAGATTACGTTAAAAAGATACCGGCTTTTCTTATTTTACCAATTTAATTTTTTAATTTTAAATTTTTATAATTAAATATTTTTAAAAAATATCACATTTAATTTTTTTTATTATAAATAAAAAATTTTAAAAAATATTACATTTTAATTTAAATTAAAAATTTTAATCCACAAAATAAACGAACTTAAGGTCCCGTTCACTTCGCTGATTCGAGTTGAGATGTGATTTTATGTGAGAACTTTTTATTGTAGAAAAAAAATTAGATGTGATTGTTTATGAGAGTTTTTTACTGTAAAAAAACTCAAATTCTAAACTCGAATCAGCGAAGTGAACGGGCCATAATTTATCACATCATTTGAATCGACGGGTCAGCAACATAAGTGGAATTAGTGGAAATATAACTTGCGTGAGATTGTAGCTGTCCTCGTAAGTTATTTATGAGAAAGTTTGAACTTTTTTTTAGAGAAAAATGTATTCCACTAAACTGAAACAGTCGTATCAGTACTTACACAATCAATAATACAATTAGAATATTTTTTTTAAAACTAAAAACGATCTTCATTAAACAAAAGAGAAGATTTTACTAATGTGGAGGCAGTCCCATTACTACAATAAAAAATGTGACTATAAAAACTACTATTCCATTCAAATAACAAGATCTTAATATCAGGGAAACTCAAAGGCCAATATCTGTAGCAAATAAAAGCCCCTCACGAGTAGCTAAGCATTCAGCTACAAAAAGGGAATGCAAACCTGGGATTTTTTTTTTTTTTTTTTGACAAAGCTCCAAGTGCTTTCGAGTCTCTTATGAGTTGTTTGGTTAAGAGATTCGTATTCCGATTCGAATTATGGTTCGTGATTCGTTACAATATTTTTTCTCATAAAAAATACACATAAATCGAAAATAATTTTAATCTCATGTTTTTAATCAATGAATCAAACGTTAGTTTAACCTCCAACACTTGTGAAATTAGTGTTGGCTATGCGTCAACATTTAATTTGAGTGAATCTCGACTCGGGGCTTGCCATCTCTGTACGTTGAAACAAATTTTTCCATTTGATGTCGTACTTGAAACTGAGCATTCTGGAAATCATGCAGCCAAGAGCTAGCCGCTTCAAGAGCAAGTGAAAGAAGCAAGAGTTTATACCCATGAGTAAAAGCATTTCTATCCTTCCACACAAACCACAGGACATTAACAAATGGATATTTGAACTTTAGAGTTTGAATTTTTACATTTTTATTCTTAATTAATACATTTTTTTTACTGTATTAGTTATTTGATTAAAATATATATTAATAAAGAGAAAGAGATAAAAATCATAACTTTTGCACTCTAAAAAATATTTGTCTCTTTTTCTCTTTATTCTTTTCTATTGATTTCTTTTACGAGGAATTATATATATATATATAATAATTACATAAATGATCTACTAATTTTAATACCTCTTTGGTAGCTTGTATTGTATTGTATAAAGTTTATTGTATTGTGTTGTATTGTTAAAATATAATATAGTATTTAATGTCATTACGTATTATATAAGAGTTAAATTTAAAATTATAAAAGTTTAAGGTTAAAATGCATTTTTTGAAAAATTTTAAGGACAAAATATAAATGTTGAAAAACTTTAAAATCGAAATATAATTTTACAAAAAATGAGAGATTAAAATATAATTTTTAAAAAATATAAATTTGCATTGTGCCCCCTCAAATTTTAAACAATTATAGGTTTTGGCATAACCCTATGTTAGTCCGACTCGGTCTCCAACCCCGACTCCAACTCCAATCGTGGCAACTCTGACATAGATCACGGGTCCACTATAAGATAATATAATACAATACGTTAAATTTAGTCGTATTCTATAATACGACATAAACCATATTCATTTATAATCCGTATTAGTTTATACAATACAATAATCACACAAAATATCATATTAATGTATTATTATACAATATGATGCTCTAATATAGTAAAACAAACATTTAAAATGTATTTTCAATAGTTTTTCAAATCCAAAATATGTCATGCCAGTTTCTAAAATAAGAGGAATAAATTGAAAAATAAACTATGAGGTATATTTATTTATATATATTCTTTATTAATAAAAATATGTTATATTTTTAATTTATTATGGCCATGTTTTGGCTTGTATCGTGTTATATGATGTGTGTTGTATTATATTGTATTGTTATAGTACAATACTATATTTGATGTCATAACGTAATTTAAAATTTAAAGTTAAAGTATAATTTTGTTTCAAACAAATGTGGAGTCAAAGTTTAATTTTTTAAAAGTTTTGGGGTGAAAAAAATAATTTTACAATCAAAATATAATTTTTTGAAAATAATAAATTTGTATTTTATCCATCAACTTTTAACAATTATAGGTTCCCACATTATTCTATGTCAGTTTGACCCTGACCCCAAGTCGTATCAAACCGTGACATGGATCATAGATTTGCTATAAATAATGGGCCGTATTCTATATTACGACATTGACCGTATTAATTTATTATTCGTATTAGTGCGAGAAAAGAGAAAATTACATATTCTACTTTTTAAAAACCTGACTTACTAAACGTACTTATTTTAAAAAACTTGACCTCTTGACTAGTTCTAATTTAAAATGTAGAAATATATGGGCTAATGATAATGTGTAGAAATAAAATGGGCTTTATTTTAAGGGGTATTTTTAAAAATTATCCGAAAAGAGAAAACAATAGTCACACTAAACATTATACTAATATATTATTATACAATATGATATTCGGTCAATTAAACATATCTTATTTGTATATCGATTAATTTTGAGTTTGATTAATTAAATTAAATTTTAGTTTGTATTAAATGAAAATCTTATTCAATGCTTAATCATAACGATGAAAATGACCAAAATATTTTTTAATAACAATATTTATAGTCATAATTTTGTAGAAAATAAAGATATATTGCTTAAAATTGAAGTGGTATTCCATGAATGAAAAGAAAAAAAAAACCAACATCAACAACAAAGAAAAGGTAGATTGATTGACTAAATAATTCACTTGATTCTATTTTGTTATAGTATTTTTCTCTCATAAAAATTTTAAATAAAAAAGTTATCGTCAATGGGTTTTCTCACAAAATTTGAATTCATAATCAAAATCACAGACTCAAACATGTGAACCAAATGGGCCATAAAATGTAATTATATTTAAAGTTGAGAAACTAAGACCATCTCCAATGCAAATGTTAATGCTAATTGTATATTAAACATCAAAAAGTGTGATATATTGTGTTATTTTCATTTTTACTCTAATGTATAATGCTATTTGAAATGCTAAATCTACTTTTTTTTATAATCATTAAACTTTGAAAGTTGTAAGAGTAAACTTTTATTTTTAAAATAAGGAATAAAATCATTTTAGTATTTTATGTTATAGCAAAACATGCTCTTGATACCATATGTTTTTGATAATACTAAAATGATACCTCAACGTTTTTAAAAACATATTCTTGATACCTTAAGTTTATTTTTAGGACATGTAATGTCCAAACTACCATTCTTGTTAATTAAATAGAATCAATATTTTTTAGCAAAAATATGAAATATTAAAATATTTAATTGAAAACAACAAATAAAAAAAAGCTCGTGATTTTTTTCTAGATTATTAGTTTTTGGTTAATTCAATAGAAGTGTACTAAGGTCAATTTACGTATCAAAAATCAAATTCAAGGTATTAAGAAGATATTTTTAAAAATGTCAAAAATACCGTTTTAATATTATAAAAAACACAGGATACTAAGAACATATTTCACTATAACACATTGTATCAAAATGATTTTATCCCTTAAAATAATTAAAAAATGAAAAAGTTGCAATAATTACATGAAAAGTAAGCATTTCAACAAATAATAATCAAATGTCAAATTTCTCATATGCTTTAGTGAGAAATTTATTACAAAATATAGCATATAAAAAATTTAACACAACAAATAGCATTAGATTAGATAGTATTTTTTACACTCAAATACTAAGCCCTCATTTATTTCACTAGTTTAGTTCAGTTCAACTCAGTTTGAACAGTGAGCACAATTTGAACTGGTGTTTGGTAAGCATGTAGTTTGAATTACATTTCATGTTTGAACTGAGTTAAACAATCCAACTTAGGGCATATTTGGTTCAATGATTCAAATTGTTGATTTGGTTTAAGTTGCAACGATTTGAATTGTGGTAATTTGAATTGTGATTCGAACCGGTGTTTGGATATGCAAATAAATTGTAACTTGAATTAGGAATAAAATTCGAATTGCATTTGGATAAAGTGTTGAAAACTGTCATTAGAGTTTTGTAACAAAGTTATAAAATCTCATTGTAAATGACATCTAAAAATATGCAATATGGATGGGGATTTGTTCCTCTTTTCATTATGAACACATTAAAAAAAACATCTCAATTAGAGTTAAGACGAAGAAATTATGACATTTTTAAACTTAAAATTGAAGAGAGAAAAAATAAAATCAGACTTATTTTCATTTTAGAAAACAATTAAGATTGTTAAAATTTAGGGAGTGATAAATTCTAAAATCAAGGGTTTGAACTATTGTTAATGGCTTGAATTATTCTTGAATTTTTCTCTCCCAAACATCAATTTGAATCCTAAATTACAGTTTGAATTCTAAACAACAGTTCAGATTGTTGAAACAAACCGGGGCTTATAGTTTAGTTTTTCCTCAAGTTCAACCATTCAAACTATTTTTGAACAGTAAGAAGGTGTCAACTCTTTGCTTTTTACCCCCATCAATCACAAATTTAAAATTTATTCCATGTTTAAATTAAAACTTTAATTACACATTCAAATGTCAATTTACATTATAATTTAGACCACATAATTTAAATTTTTTTATTCAAACCAATAAAATTTAAATTAATAAATTAAACAAAATTTAAATTTATAATTAATACATCAATTATAACAGTGAGCGCTAAAAGATTACCGTTAATCTAGTAGTCTCTAGAACCAAAAAGAAAGGAAACGATAAAAAAAAAAAACGAAATTCCTAACTTTCCAAAAAGGCAGCAAAGAAGTCCAAACTCCAAACTCCACGGAGAAATGCCGCCTCTTCTTTCTCCAACCTTTCCCCGGTTCCACACTCTTCCCCTCTCTCTCTCATCATCCTCTTTCTCTCTCCTCCCCGCCAAAACCTTCATACCCGCCATGTCTCTCTCTTCCTCTTCTTCGCCATCACCTTCCACAGCCAACAAACAACGACAACCATCATCAGAAAACGACAATCAAAACCTGTCGCAAATCCTCCATTACCACGACCAAACCAAGCACGCCTTCACCAAATACGCCAGAGGCCCCCACGGCCTGGACTGGGCCAACCAGCCCAACCCATTTCGCCGTTTCCTCTCTTCTCCTCTCCTCCCCCTCCTGCACCTCTCCACACCCGATCAAACCCCTTCCTCGTCCGCCATTGATGGAGCTCAAGCTCCTCTGTATCACTCCGTTTTCCTCTCTCTCCCTCCTCCCAAACCCCTCTCGAAGCCCGCCATTTCGCAGTTCCTCTACGACTCCCTCGCTCTCTCCGCCTGGAAGACCACCGGCTTCTCCACCTGGTCCCTTAGGGTTAACCCCAGCAGCGGCAACTTGCACCCCACCGAGGCTTATATCGTCGCTCTGCCGATCGAATCGCTCTCGAATTCGGGTTTCGTGGCGCATTACGCTCCCAAAGAGCACGGTTTGGAGATCAGAGCCGAAGTTCCTGCCGGATTTTTCGCAAAATTCTTTCCCGAGAACGCGTTTCTAGTCGGATTGTCGTCGATTTTCTGGCGCGAGGCTTGGAAGTACGGCGAGCGCGCGTTTCGGTACTGCAATCACGACGTCGGACATGCGATCGGGGCGGTCGCCATGTCCGCGGCGAGTCTCGGCTGGGATGTGAAGGTTCTTGATGGTCTAGGGTACGAGGATATGAAGAAGTTGATGGGATTGGACAAATTCCCGGAGTTTCGGATTCCGTCTCGGCCTGTTAGAGGTAAAATTCCCGAGATCGAGTTTGAACACCCTGATTGCGTTTTAGCCGTTTTTCCTAGTGGAATCACTGAATTTGGTTTGAATTATGAGGAATTGAGTAAGGTAATATCCGAATTTTCGAGCTTCGAATGGAAGGGAAACCCCAATTTGCTTAGTAAAGAACATGTTTGTTGGGACATTATTTATAGAACAGCTGAGGCAGTGAAAAAACCTATAGATATAGACAATAAAGATAGGTTCTTTGTTGATCCGTTTGTGAGTAGTGGACTTTTTAGCGTAAATGCGTACAAGGGATATACAGTGAGAGAGATTGTTAGGAAGAGAAGAAGTGCAGTTGATATGGATGGAGTCACTGCTATGCAGAGAAATACATTTTATCAAATTCTGCTGCATTGTCTTCCTTCTGGTTGTGGTACCGGAGAGGGGCAAAAACAGCCGTTGGCGTTGCCCTTTCGGGCACTATCGTGGGATGCGGAGGTGCATGCTGCGCTGTTTGTTCATCGGGTGGTGGGTTTGCCTCAGGGCCTGTATTTCTTGGTGAGGAATGAAGAACATTTTGGTGAGCTCAAGAAGTCCATGAGGCCTGGGTTTAAGTGGACCAAGCCCGAGGGTTGCCCTGATGAGCTTCCTCTATATGAACTTGATAGAGGCGATTACCGGCTTCTTTCTCAGCGGCTTTCGTGCCATCAGGTGAGTTAAATTTTAGATGATTTTTTGTCATATTTTAATTTTTCATGGACTGGTGGGGTTGCTCAGGCATGATTACAATATTTAAAAGTTTTTTTTTTTTTTCTTTTTTTGGTAGAAATGTCACAAGATTTGAAAGAGTTACAATACAGTGAATGTTGCAGAGAGGAAAATATTTGTTTTATCTCTCCTTTTAGAACTTAGAGCATAGAGGTGATATTTTGTTTTTTTCCATCTGTCTTTTCGATTGAGCTAATTTTCCAATATAGTGTTCAAGTTAGCCAGTATACCTTTTTTCACTAAAATCTTATTTGTTAACAACTGAGATAGCAGCTTTATGAGAGATTTACTAATTATACTGAAGTTGCTAAATGTTCAAATCATAGATAGTTTTACAAGGATTTATTCCTTTATGCAAGCATCCATTTTACACGAGATATGAAGAATAATCTTGAATGATGGTTAAGGAATAATCAAAGCTCTTGTTAAAATATTCCATCCATATATATGCAGGAAATAGCAAGCGATGGCTGCTTCAGTCTTGGTATGGTGGCTCATTTCGAGCCCGTTTTGCGCGAGAAAGCGTGGATGTATCCGCGATTGTTTTGGGAGACTGGTGTACTAGGACAGGTCTTGTACCTTGAAGCGCATGCTGCTGGCATCTCAGCAACAGGAATCGGTTGCTATTTTGATGATCCCGGTGTGGTTTTCTTTCCATTTCTTATTTCGACTATTTGTTTCCAATTTCCCCGCAACACTCTACTAAATGATTATCCATTATCAATGATGCATCACCGGGGTGATAAATAATGTTACTCGATACAAAATAATCACAAGAGATTTAATCCAATCATGCCGTGAATGTTTTAATGATAAGATTGTTGAAAGTTCTTCTATTATTGTTGCTTTACAGTGCATGAAGTGCTTGGTTTGAAAGGATCGAACTTTCAAAGTCTGTATCATTTCACTGTGGGAGGCCCAGTCCTGGACAAACGGATAATGAGCCTTCCAGCATATCCAGGCCCTGGTATTGATGCTTGATGCATGGTTTTAAAAACCCAGCTGAGACTTGAGACTTGTGCCAACGTGCCCTTGGTTAATCATGGATAAATTTACCAGAAAATGCCCATCAACTCTTTTTTTCCACATTGATACATCTAGACCATGGGATTAGGACTTGGGATTTATGGGGAGGATGAGATGTAGCTTTTATTTTGTAAATTGTCAATGAAACAAAAAATAGTACTTCATTATTTTCTATGGGATTAGATTAGATTTGTAAGGGTTCTTGATGTGATCATATCATCTGACCGTAATACATGTAAAGTGACATTGGGGGTTTGAACTCCATACCTCTAACATTTAAAGTAGGACTTTGATTTACCGTTTGGCTATACTTGGAGCTATCATTGACATGGTTTTATGCCGTAAAGGACGTGTTCATTTTCTTCATTCTATAAAAGTTTGTATACAATATTAGTTATTGTAAATAAACGTTGTAATGTTATTCAAATAAATAAATAGATAAATAAAGACCTGATAACTTGGTGCTTGTGTTTTTTTTACTTGACTCTCCTATGACTGACCTTTATACTACTTGTTACTGATTTTCTGAAGGATCAATAGTGGAATTTTTGTCTGCATGTGGATAGTCCCCAAAAAAATATTCAAAGGCACAAAACGTCTTTAATAAGAAAGTATATCAAAAGACCTATTCAAATCATATTGTGAGAAATAGATTACTTTCCATTGGAAACTGAGGGGTCCAAACATTTATGGCAATTTTTACAGTAAAGATTGCCAACATTTATAAGCAAAAAGATTTCTCAAATAATGAAGAAGAAAGGTGGTGGTTGTTTATTTTTGGAAAGCTACCAACACTTTAACGTAAAATCTGATCAAAATCACATCAAAATAAAAAAATATACAAAACTGACAGAATCAAATTCAAATCTGACAATTAAAAAAAAATGCTTTCATAAAATATTACTGTAGGATTCTCATTATTTTTGCGTTAAATATGATCTACCAAGCATTCTCGTTATTTTGAAGAGAGAGAAGAATCTGATGGCTTGCTGTCTCTATGCCACCCTAATAGTAGCATAGCAACAAATAAGAATCCAAACAAAGCCACTCTTATAGTAATAGAAAACTGAGAGCCATATGCACATGCTAAAGAATTAATGAAATCCGTCGTAAGAATTCCGGTGGAAATGGGGGAAAAAAGCATTGGCCCACTTTGTTGGGGAGATATGGTTGAAAGGAGCTCAATTTTTGAAGAAATGACACCCATGGAAAGGCAGGACCACAGCTCCAATCAACTGAAACTAGTCCTCTAATACTTCAAAGTCGCCGTTAAGTTTCTGATGTTCCAATGCCCCAATAAGCAAAGAAGTTCTCGTACTCTGATATGACTGATATGAAGTCATCCTGAAATAAAATTCATAAAAGAAATCTGTTCTTCCAGTTTCAGGCTCCATACTGAAATGGGACAATTTCTTTCCAGCTTCACCTCCAGTCCACCCCTAAAAGTAGTTTGATCTCACTTTTTTGAGCCGGCTTTTCCAGCTGGTATGATCTTGCTCTTGTTCCAGCAATCAGGTAGTGAGCGCCTAGCTGACCGATCAATTTCTCTTCGATGGTTGGGCAGAAAACAAATCAGCCAACAGCATCTGGTGGAGCCATGTGTCACAAGAAAATTGAGAGTGGATCAAATTCAAAGTTGAAGAGGTTACTGAACCCAAAAACATCATCCATTTCGTACTTGAATGAATCCAGGAAGAGACCCAGGGAAAGCCCAGTTTTCCAATAGTTAAAGACGGTTATTAGGCTCCTCATCTTTTTTAAAAAGGGAAAAGAACCCCTATACATGAGTGCACCAATACCCTCTACAACAACCACAGCCAAGGCAGCAGATAGAATGTCCCAGTCACCTGTTTGCCCGATAACAGTAGCAAATGCAGTTGCGCAGTAAAATCCCGCTAAGAAGAAGAGCAGTTTTACTGGAAAACCCTTCTTTATCTCCTGAATTCTTGCACCTAACCTGGTTTGGATACCTTGAATCGCCCGAATTAGTCTTGTAGTACCATTACCGCCATTTGATGTAGAAGGATCCAGGGGATTACTATCTACACTGTTCCTAATAGACCAGGACATCTTCCTGTAACAATGTCAAGAAGTCGCATCAAAATATTGGTAGACAGGACATTGATTGACACAGCAGGGGTTATGTCCATAACTACGAGGGACGAGGAAACATTTTTCAAGCAAAAAAAAAAAGGTTCAAATAATAAAGAAAATCTCAAACCACCGGTATGGGAAACATGATGGCCATTTAACTTGGTAGCTTATTCAATGCTAACCTAATTGTTCAAGTTCAGAACTTTTCTAGTATTTTTTGGTTTTCTTTTCAGCTATGAGGAAAGGTACATCTTCCTGACACTTACTAATCTTTAAGTGCATCAGCACATAAATACATGAGACTATAATACAACTAGTTAGGAGTTTATAGTCCAGACTCGAGCACTCAGAATTCGATATCCAAGCAACCTACAACATATAATTCTAATCAAACAAAAAAAGTTCCTCTCATGCAAAAATAGCAGTGCAAACCATATTCAGTTATAGGTGGCAACTTACTTGACATTGTTGGCCAACGAAGGTCGGGTCACATGGAAGAAACCGCGCTGAGAACTGTGTTTCCAGCTGAAAGCACTAACAGTTTCGTGAAGACATGTGGCAAGATTGAAAGTGGGAGCTCCAGAGCCGACACACTTAGGAGATGGAAGTATGGCATTTCTTGGACAGTTGGATGACACAACCGTAGTTGCCATTAATGTATTACCTGTAAGAAATAATTCAGTAGGTCATCCACATAATTTATTTTCTAAACCATGATTCTCTAACCCCTAACCTAGCGTACTTTAACAGACGAATACAAAATTAGCGAAGTTCTCTTAGAAAACTAATAAGATTCTGAGGACGTTTGGTTGATGGATTCAGAATCATGATTCAGAACTATTTTTGATTTACGTGTGTTTTTTGTGAGAGAAAACACTGTAACGAATCACGAACCATGACACGAATACTTGAACCAAACGCACTCTAAAAAACTTGGAACATATAAGTCTCAGTACTATTTGTTTTACACATAACTAAAAGCTTTGTCAATATGTGCCCTGAACTTATCAGTGTACGGCAACTTGGACCTCAGACTTTTATATTTAGGTAAATGGGACCCTAAATTTGAAAATCTATACTATTATGGTCCAATAGCTAACAAACATCGTTCATTAGTGACGGAAACTCCCCAAGATTTTTGCATAAATGCACCCAAAATTTTTCGTTGATTGGCAAGTTAGACTCCGAACTTTTAAATTTTCTCATTCAGGATCCTGAATTTATGGCTGTCCATTAGAGATCGGATTACATTGCCAAGCATTGTCAAATGTTTTGTCCTAACCTAAATTAAAAATTTATGGCTCAACTAACAAATGATGAAAAGGTCAGGGTGTATTTGATGCAAATTACCCCATCTAAAACATACAAATAAACAATACTTAGAAACACAAAAAACCCAAAAAGCCAACATATTGTGAATGTTTAGGCATACAAGGTAGAAGTAATTACTTTATCTAATATTTAGTCAAATTGCTATTTCCCACTACTCTATATTCAGAAAATTTTCACCTTGGAAACACGAATTTCACAGAAATTCATATAATCTTTTATGGTTCTAGGCTTTTAAACTGAAACAAACTTACATACAAACACTAATGACAAAACGGAAAATGGGTTCGGAAAACTCAATCAAATAAGTCAATTAGGATCAACATTTCATGCTTTTGCCAAAAGTCCTATATGAAAATAATCGCTTTTTGCATAACCAACTAATACTTTGGATGAAAGAACAATAAAAATTAAAGAGAACCCAGAAAAAGTTAATTCAAAATTCGATCTTACAGAGAGAAATTGTGGAGGAAATTGAGCGCGATTACGATGACAAGCTCAACTTTCTGCTGTCGCTTCTTCTTCTTCAGATATGACCATATATTTGATTCGTCTCTCCTTTTTTTCTTTTTTTGTGACTCTTTTATTCTTCTGTTACTAAGGAAGTATGACAGACGAATGCTTAGTTCGGTAGTATCGTAGATTTTAGAAAAATTATTTTTAATTGTGTTAAAAAAATAAGTAGTTGTTATAAAAAGTAATTGAGTGTTTGATAAATAGGATTGTTTAGTTGGGAAATTCGTACCCCGATTCGAATCATGATTCATAGTTCGTTACAGTATTTTCTCTCACAAAAAATACACGTAAATCGAAAATAATTTTAATCTCATGATTCTAATTCATGAACCAAACATCAATTATAGTAACTCTGTTAATTGTAAAATTAACGTAATAGTGTTTGATAAATTATGAGATTGAATTATTTTGAATAGTTAAAAATTATGATATATAATTACAATATAATATATATTTATTATTATATTTAATATAATAAAAAAATTATTAATATATAATATATTATATAATCATAATATAGAATATAATAGTATTATTAAAATAATAAATAAAATAAATAAAATAACGATTATATTATATTACACTATAATATAATATATATAATTACAATATAATATATATTTATTATTATATTTAATATAATACAATAAAACTATTATTAAATAACATAACTATGATATATAATATAATAATATTATTAAAATAGTTAATATAATTACAATATTATAAAACATATTATAATAATATAATATAATAATATTATTAAAATGGTTAATATAATTACAATATTATAAAACATATTATAATAATACAAGAAATATTAATACTTAGTTATAATATAATTAAAAATTACAACTATATTATAATATAATATAATATATTATATTATATTATAATATAGTTGTAATTTTTAATTATATTGTAACTAAAATATTAATATTTCTTATGTAATATTATAATATGTTTTATAATATTATAATTAGATTAACTATTTTAATAATATTATTATATTCTATATCATAATTATATAATATGTTATTTAATAATTATAATATTATTATAATATCATATTATATGATAAAATAATAATATTATAGTTATTAATATAATTATGATATTATTTGTTACAATATTACTATTATATTATATTATATTATATTACGAGTCTGACTTTTAGATTGGGAATATTGTCAATTTTAAATTTTATTATGGGTATTATAAAAGTTTCATTAATTGTACTATGTTGATTCACGCATAATCTAAAAGGTAAAATTGTCTTTAGACTGTTTCTGATTTTGACTGTAGATTCTTGAAAAATTCTTCAAAAAGTACTTTTGAAGAGATTTACCAAATACTAAAATCAGCTTCTGCTACAAGCAAAAGCTGATTTTGGAATGAAAAAATAATATCAAACTAAGTCGAAAGCCATCTTTTTCATCTTCAAAATGTAGCCATTGAATAATAAGAATTTCTAAAAAATTCAAGGGAAGGAAAAAGTCATGTGTTGGCAGAATAAAAATTTATGACCCGTTTAGTCGGTTGATTTAAATTGATACGTAATTTTATGTATAAATTTTTTATTATAATAAAAAATTAAATGTGATAACTTTTTAAAATTTTGTAATTTTAAATTTGAATCGGTTAAATAATTTTGTAGTGAGATTCGTGAATAGACAACTGTGGGCCAAACTTATTACAATGAAAAATTCAAAGGAATATTCTTTAGAAAATCCAACGACACATCGCTTCCTTCAATAAACGACAACAACTTCAGTTAAACGACATGTCGTTGATACAGGGAAGAGGAACGACATGTAATTTTCTTACTTAAATAACGGCGATCTGTAATCACGGTTAACCACAAAGGGTGAAAAGATGCATTGCTTTCTTAACTTAAATGAGTGCAGAACTTTAAACTTCAAAATGACAGAGAAATTCTATGAGAGAGAGAGAGAACTATCAGACCAAACAAACTATAGGACAAACAACAAGCTGTTTGTTGTAAAATGATGGCATACGTGTAAAAATTGAGCGAGAAGCAAGAAGCGCAAATGTTATGTCGTTTCTTCCGTTAACGACAAAATATATTTCAATTCCGAATGAAACGACATCAACGTTTCATAGAAAAAAGATTTGTCAACTGAACAAGAACGACATCATCTAAAGATTTTTATTTATTTACTTAAAAAGAAAGGATAAAGGTGTAGACAAAAATCTCTTATTTTAATTTTGATTCAGAATAAGTCCTGACATTGTATTGAAAATTTGATTTTACTTTTATTCCTCAAAAGTTCTAATATGGTGCACAATATACAAGATTTTTAATATTTGAAGTTTTTATTCGTATATATACATCACTGTATGTCTACGTTTAGTATTTTCTCAAACTAAAAGAAAATACGTGTATCATTTCCCTACTTAAGTTCATTTGGTATATCATAAATTGCAGAGTAAATACCACACAAAAGCCACCACAATATACATTCTTACGATGAATCAAAACGACAGATTTTACCCACCACAACCAAAATGCATCAAATTCTTCAAGCAAAGTTCATGAAGTTGAGACATTAGAAAAATGGGTGACTGGTTTTTAGTTTAACTTTGTGTTTTTTGGATTACTTGACTGATCACAGCCAAAGTAACCAAGTTTTTGTGTACAAAGGCCATAAATATCCTTTTTCTTTTTATTTACATACACTGATTCCGCAGATGTACACAAAGCACATTCAAGCAGACGATCTCCGATTGACTGTATGCAAATACAAAAAACTGTATAACTCAGTGTACCAGAAAAAAGCTACCCTCTGGGGCTGGCACAATACTTCTTCAACTCAAGCTATGAACTTGCACCAAAAACACAGATTTTCTGCTCAACTGGAACCCGACAACAGGGACAAGTAGCTTTACGCTTTACCCCAAAATCCTCACTGCAGCCTGCGCACATTACTTGATGAGCACATGGCAAGAAAACAACAGAGACTTCGTCCTTAAGACAAATTATGCATTCCCTATCAGAGTTTATTTCTTTCTCCGACAAATCCTCCAGATTATCTAGCTCGCGAAGCAGCTTTGCAATTGTTTCTCCTTGAGGCTTTGCGCCCTCGAAGTTCCCAGCAGGTGGGGTATTTGACGGATTATGTGACTCAGTTAATTGAGATGACGCTTTTAGGCGAGACAGTTCCTGCTCAAGTCTTTGGAGATCATCCTTGTGGCGCTGGAAATCTATCTCTATCTTTAAGCGCAAAGCTTCAAGCTTTCTTTTGCTACTAGCCTCAGCCGCTTCTTTCAAGCGTCTTTCCTCTTCCAATTGTGCCACCGCTAGCTCTTTAGCCTTGAGCTCCTGCCTCCACTTTAACTGTAATAAGAGAATTTCACTGAAAATTGGTAATGTAGTATGTGATGCGTAGAGATAAAGAAACAAAGTTTTAACCGTAACATGCAAAAGTAAAATCCAGTCCGGCCTGCTAAGCAAAACAAATACCACAGAAAATGCGTTAATAAAGATGAAGGCTCATAGAAGTGAAAGAAAGAGAAAATAGAGTGTATTGTCTTTGTAGGAAGAACAGGAGGATACACCCCAATTACCTTAATACTAACTCGATTTGGGTGATCATAAAACCACCAGATAATTCCAGTATGAACCGTCTGATGCATAAATATAAATCTCAAATGATATACATGTAATTGTTCTAAATAGGAAAATTTAGGTTAAACAGGAGATAACATTTCAAAAACCAGTACTGCATCGACTGATCATATGAACTCCTGATAATTTAAATTAAAAAACTAGGTGCATCAGAGAAAAACTAAATAAACATTTTCAACAAAGTGTAAAACCAATTAAGAAATACAGGTTTATAACACACCATAACATACGACAATATTTGAAATATAAAAAAGCAAATCAATTCTGCAGTGGCATCCTCAAATGCGTTTGAAGACTATTTATCTTCTTAAATGGGGACTAGATAAAAAACAACGATAACTGATCTATGTCACCGTGGTGAGCATATTAGCCAACGACCAAGAAACACTAGCACAGTTGGGTAAACTTAACAAGGCTAGTTCAAAACAAAACCATCTTAGTCCATAAGATAATAATTGCATGGATATGGAATTCAAAATCAATTGCATACCATACTAAAAATGAAAGAACATATCTAATGAAAAACAAGTACGTTTTTCCATTGAATAATCCCGATTGTTGGACTTCCAAACTACAAGAGTAGAACGCCTCAGCCTTTTAAGCATATTTACACTGCATTTTCAACATGTTTACACCACATTGAATAATCCTCCTTCTCATTAGCTTTACTTTGCGTTTATATCAACTCTGCACACTTTTTAGGGAAATCCCTATGCACAGTTTGGTGGAGGCTTAAAACATACAATTATGTTTGTTAAGATATACTGTTTACGGAATGAAGTGACTACTTCACTTTACTACAAACTAGTAAAAATTAGGTCTCTTTTAAGCTATTTCACATGTAAGTCCTGTGCAAGCTTTTTCAAAATGATAGTCTCACTCCATCATTTTCTTGAGTAACTCTGCATGAGTCTTTGTGACCAGGCAAAGAAAGGAGATAGATTATAAGGAAACAAGCATAAAATATGAGTAAACGCACCTCAGCAACTTTCTGAGACTGCTTGATGCGAGAGAGAGTTTGTTGCAATTGTGTAATCTTCTCTTTCTCATTTTCAATCTCCTCCTGCAACCTAGCTTTCTGTTTCTCCCAAGCCAAAAGCCTCTTCAAGCACTTTTTCTCTCTCTTTGCAAGCTCCAAGCAGGTGGTGACTGACTCAGCAGCACTTAACTTAGAGGCCTCCATTTCTGCTCTGATTTCAGCATTCTCAGTCTCGAGACGTTTCACAGCGGCATTTGCCCGGTCGACTTGACCACTGGCTTTTCTTAGAGCATTTTCCATCTCTGAAAGTCTCTTCATTGTCGAATCCTCGAGAGTTTGTTTCCCCTTCTTCAACCTCTGAGTCTCCTCCCGTTCCATTCTTAAAATCTTCAGCTCTCTCAGATCATTACTAAGTTTTCTTGCAGCTTGCATTGCCTTTTCGTGAGCCCACTCCTTCCGCTCCTTTACTTGTTTCTCGAGCTCCTTGATCTGGTGAATCAGAGTAACTATCATTTCATCCTTCTGATCTTCGGCCACTAGCTCCGAGTTTTCATCGAGATTTAGATCACGGAATTTACTCAATACTAAGTTTACTGCTTCCTGGTTCTTTGTATTTTGGGACTCCTCACCTTTCTCCGCAGGAACTTCAGCAGCTGATCCAACCTGGGAACTCCTATTTGTCAAAGTATTCAGGCAAGCTTCTGATTGTGTCTGAAACTGTTTCGAGTTTGCTCGGAAACCGGCTGCAAACAGCGCAACATTCCTCTTCAACAATGACTTCATTGAAGGAGAAAGATTAAACCTTTTCGGACACTCAATTTCTCTTTGCAAAGCAATCTCACCACCATAAGAGAAAAAGCCATGAATTGAAGATTCGGAACCTCCCCCATTCCCAAAACCCCAACCACTATGAAACCTACAAAGCGTCGGGGTCACAACACCAACCGAATGGTTTCCACTACTTACAATATCCGCAGCATTAGTAGCTACGGCAGTTCCACCACCATTTCCGGACGATGGGAGAACAGGAATTTCCATAGTAGTTGCCCGACCCACATGAAGATCACTCATAAGCAAACACCACATGGCATCCCCTTTACTCAAATAAGGCCTTACTTGTTGCAACAAACAAACCATACCCGCAAGCGAATACTCCTCCAACTGCCTCAAATCCGCAAAAACGAGCTCGGACTCCTCCGAGTTCTCATTGCTACTACCACAACTACTATTCAAATACGCCAAAGAGTTATGCAAAATGTTTGTCAGCACATCCATGCCCCCATAGCAATGCCCATTTCTCAAAATCGCTTTAAGCGCAACATCCTCATTGTAACCCAACGCAACAAGTCTAGATATAGCTTCATTATACAAAAACTCCAAGTTTTTCAACAAAATCTCCTCCAATTGATCTTCCGTGCAGTATCCCCACCCACTATCGTCACAATTGGAATTGGGGCTAGCACTGGGGTTAGGGTTAGAGCTAGGGTTTTGGGTCGAATCATTGGAACCAGAATTAGGGCTATTCAATGGCTTAATAAGACCCGATTCTAGTATTGATTTTGATATAGACGCTTTGTCCAACAATGAACACGGATCAATTTCATGTTTCACCGATCGGAGCCTCCGGTTCGTACGAATATGCTTATCTCTCACAGTACAACCCATGAAAATCTATACAAAATAAGTTTATATATACATATATGTATATCAAAACAATCCCAAAGAAAAATGATTATTAACAATAGAGAGAATCGAAAGAGAAAATGGATTGGGAGTGGAGAAAGAAAAACTCACTGAAAAATCGGCGACGATCGGTGTTTGGCTGCTGAAGCTCTTTGAGAGGGAGTTTTAGAGAGAGAGAGGAAGGGACAAGTGGAGGCGTGCGTCGGAGCTTCTTGTTGTTGTTGTTGTTCAGGCAGGTTCACTGTGTCTTGTGTCATTGTGTGTAACAATATATTAATAATGTGTCTGCGCATGTCCATTTCCCGGAATTCTCGTTTTGGGCTCATATCCGACGCCAATCTAGCCCAACTGAGGTTATTTGGGCTGCCTGAGATCCAGCCTTGTTTGGGCCGCTTGGGTCGAGGCCCAAAGGAAATAGTTTGGTGCTAAGGCCCAATACACAAAAGTGATGGATCATCGATTAGTTATGCGGTTTAACGAGAAACGGACACAAATACTCTTTAGAGTTGAGGAGTTTTAAGGTCTGTTCTTTTTGGCCCCGTTCATTTTACCAATTTGAATTTAAAATTTAAGTGTTATTACAGTAAAAAACTCTCAGAAACAGTCACATCTAATTTTTTTACTACAGTAAAAGGCTCACGTAAAGTCACATCTCAACTCAAATTAAAAACTCGAATCAGCGAACTAAACGGATCCTTAGAGTGTGACTTGAGTGTAGTTTTTGAGTTATAACTTGAGTTTCTGTTTGGTTGTGTACATTTGAGTTATGGTTTGAGATAAGAATATTTTTGAGTTTGTGTTTGAGTGAGTCAAAACTTGAATTTGTATTTAGATAGCATTTTAATAAAAACTCAATGGTGATGAAAAATTTTAATAGGGTATATGGGTGTGATTTTATTCGTCTTTTCGTTATCAACGTATAGAAAAAAAAATTATCTCAATCAAGATTAAAACGAAAAAGTTATAGCATTTTTAAGAATAGAAAAAATATTGTTCATTAATTTGAGTTCCAAGTTTCTGAACTCGAGTTGAAGGGAAAACTTGAACTCGAGTTTTAATCCCAAACTCGAGTTCAAACTTAAAAGAACATGAACTTAAATAAAGTTGAAACTCGAGTTGTATTTTTTTGAGTTTTTGAGGCTGCCGAACAAGGCCTTAAATTTTTACTTCTTACTTTTAGTTAATATTCTTTCTTTAAAAATTATATTAGTCAAAAAAAAATTAATTAAGAGTAAGAGATAAAACTCTTGAACACTACACTTTTAAAGGGTAAAATCTGTAATTTATTTGTGTTGTTTTTAATCTCATTTTACGAACTTTACCTCAATCTCACTTTGCTACCTAACCTTTTAAACGTTCCAAACTTAACCTGATTAATCAGTTTATTTTGGTTTTAGCTATTTTGTGAGTCGGATGTTAAAAAGAGGACTGAATATGTATCATGTTCTGTTAGCATAGTGTTGTTTTTTTGTCTATATAGCACGTGTATTTTGTGTTCCGTTAGAATAATACCATTCTATGCTAGCATCACTTGCATACTTTCTATTTTCATCATAGGAGTGTTATTTTTCCTTCAAGATCACGTGTTTATTTAGTCCCTTTTTTTTTTAACTTATAACTGAAATGAAAAAGACTAAAACTAAAGCGAACTAATCAATAATCGGGTTTAAGTTTGAGACATTTTAAAAGGTAAACACTAAAGTGGAATTGGGATAAAGTTTGGGGAGTATTTGTAGATTAACTCAAAAGTTTAATTATAATTGCAATTAACTAGTGTTATCATATATCCTCGCGATACAATACAAATTCCAGATCATTGCGTGCGATACATATGTCTATACTGATAATGTTTAAATTCAAATTTTTTTTTTTTTTTTTTTTTTTTTTTTTTTTTTTTTTTTTACACTAAATGATCATGTAATGGTCGGGCCCCAGCTAATGACTTTGTTGTTTTATTGTTAGATGTTTCTACTACAAAACAAGTTAATAAGAATAGGAATTGTAATAAGGGATTTTACTGGTTTTTTTATGGCAATATATGCCATAAAAAATTTTATGGTTCTTTTTCTGCTCAGAAAGCCGAATTTATTGCTCTTACTTTAAGTTTGGTTTTGGCAAGAGATATGGGCTTAAGTCTCCAGTTCGTAGAATTGAGCATTAACAACTGCACAAGTTTTTAAAATTTATACCTTTAATTGTAAAGAGTTTGGTGTTTTATTTTTATATGTTTTTTATTTTTTGGATTTACCATGTATTTAGAGAAGCTAATAAAATAATCCATTTCTTAACTTCTTATACTCTTATATAGAAGACGAGGTTATTTAATTTGAGGACTCTCCTATTGCACTAGATACCTTTTTAATAATAACAAGTTCTGATTCTCAGAAAAAAGAAAATGTTACATGCTACTTCATTGAAAACAAACTATTTATAAAAGATACGCTTCATTAATTAAAAATGAGCTGCTAATTCGTTTTTAGAAAAAATTCGATATCCTTGTGGGAATTTAAAGGATCTTGGGGGAATTCAAACTTTAAATTATGGATTTGCAACTCCGTTATATGCCTACAATCACATCATGCCATTTATTTTCTTTTTAGTCGCTTAATTATTTTCTAATGGGACATTTCATCCGAATTAAGATAGAAATGAAGTACTACAAGAGAATGTGAATGACTCTATAATACAAAGCACAACTCCCAATGTAAACCAGTTCTACCAGCACAATCTGATAACTCTCAACGAATAGTACATATGTCATATGATCAAAAAGAGGAAGAACCTCGACACACTAATAACAAACTCACATAACGCTATTTTTGATAATATCTCGATAATCGAAGGAAGCATCCCATCAATTAAGAACCACAACATTGTAGTGCAAAGGCCACCATCCACAATACAGACACATTGAACTCTGCAAAGAGTGAGCTCTTGTATGTTGGACACATAACCATAATCAAAAGTTGAGGAGATCACCTCTATTATGACAAAATGAAAACTCAAACACAATAAAAATAACAAAAAAAAAAAAAAAAAAAACAAAGCAGAATCAAAGTCTCAATACCCAAAAAACCATCGAGGCCAATCCAACCAACGCGAAGAGAGAAACGAAAGAAAAACAAGTGGAGAACGATCTGTAACCATCAATCCCCATAGCTTATTTATCTATGCCATGTTCAATAGCAAAGTAACCCTAATTTTTGTCAAACATTCCCCCGTTCGTTGATTGATTAAAACCTCCAATAGTTTCTGATATTTTTCAACTTCAATCCTAAAAGATACAAGATGTAACTATAACCTGCCCTTAATAACAAATATTGATGAAAAAGTACGCATACAAATAGTTAAAAGAAAAAAAAGGTATTTGTTCTATTATTTTAGTTTAAAAGTTATATTTAATTAACTCCTTGTGAAACAAAATTCTGAATATTAATATATAGAGTTCTAATTCCCCACCATAGTCAGGAAAAAGTAAATTTAGTAAAGTTTGTGCAGATTACCACAAATAGGATATAATTTCTGGATTATTTTTCCAACAAAACTGAACCTGCAATCAATATATCAGCCGCAAAATGGGAAGCAGTCCCACGTGGGAGTTTCCTCTACCTACAAAACATATTTGTCCAACATGGACGCATGGCTAGCTATTAGATATACCCTACTTGGTTGCAATCTCTTGTGACACACTCACATTCTAAGTTCCTAAAGTAATGCAAATGAATCTTTTTTTTTTAAATTTAATTTTAACAGAATATAAGAAAACGAAAAGAATTCTAAACGCACCTCAGCCAAGGCACTTGACACCCTGGTTCCTGTAGTATTAACTACGCTAGTTTTGCACATATTTATTGGAGATTGCTGCCATTATCTTTAGCTTGCTAGTAGTGTTACACAATTCACATAATATAATAAATTTCGTCAATTTTTAGTCACTTACCCTGTAACAATCTTTTAGCTACACAAGTTATTGTTACATTTTGAACTCGTCATTTGAATGGCTTGGCTAAGATTTTTTTCCTACCAAAAAAAAAAAAGAAAATCGAGATGGGAAGATTTGAAGTCTACGGAGCCTGACAAAGATTTTTTAATCTGTATAACTTTTCATGAATTATCAAAAGCAAAATTAGTAAATTACTTATCCCTAAAACATGCATCGTTCGTTTCGCTGATTCGAGTTTAAAATTCGAGTTGAGATGTGATTTTACGTGAGAGTTTTTTACTGTAACAAAAAAGTTAGATGTGACTGTTTATGAGAGCTTTTTACTGTAGTAAAACTCGAATTCTAAACTCGAATCAGCGGAATGAACGATGCCTCTTGCCAAAATTCGTGGGATAACATTCATTTTTCTTTTTTTTTTAAAAAAACCTGGGATAACATTCGAATGAGTCTCTAGGTTGGTCGAATTCTTATTTCTTTATTGAAATAAAAATGTAAAAGTATCAGTTTACTTATATAAGAAAGTAAAGAAACCAAGAAGTCGTGGTAAATAAATTCAAAGCAACAAAAAATAAATAAATAAATAAAAGAAGGATGGTTATCTTATCGAGAACATTCGTGGATGGACAGGCTCCAGGTCTTTTAACTAACTAAGTACAGATTCGCCCAGTGCTGACAAAAGAATTTGAGCCCAGCCCACCATTTTAGAAAAAAAGACAATGATAATAATAATAATAATAATAAATGCAATAAATCATAAAAAAAAAAGAGAGAGATTCTTTCTCAAGTTTTGACTTTTCAGGGACGAAAAGCCAAAAAGAAAAACCAGAAAAAAGGCACTGTAATCAAGTCAACGATAATTACCTCGTCATTAATCTTCTCATCATCACCCAAAAAGTCATACACTTTCCTACGTGGCCCTTAATGGGCCTCTTGAACAAGATGGGATCAAACTGTTGGACGTGTGGTTTTCCTAGTTCAAACTCCAAGAAAAAAAAAATTATCCACTAAATACAACTCAATAAAAAATTTAAAAAATAATAAAATACTAATTTGTGAACAACAAGAGCATCTGATTTTAGACAGCTAATTGGGCCATAAATTATAACCAACAACAGATCCAACTGTCACCGATCCATCACACAGAAGCAGAGAAGAGAGAATCCCATGCCTCGTTAGCATTGTTTCCCATAAATGCAGCTATCTAAGACGGTCGTCATCACTTACAAAACAGCTGTCTAAAGCTGAAAACAAGCCAAAAAACGCTGTATGCATAATATAATTGTATATACATACATACTACAAAGATTGTACACATATATAGAACAAGATTTTTCCACCAAAAAAGTGTACATAATTGAACAAGATAAAATCACAACTCAATATATAGCTAACGTCAGCTTATAACTCAATGGATTGGATAAATGATCAATCCAGCTATGTAAGATATGTTGTCTTTCTTTTCTCTTGAATTTCGTTTCAGGAAGGAAAAACAAATTTTTTTTTTTTTCCATCAAAATAAAAAAGGGTCAGATTTGTTTGTCTCCTTTACCTCGGACTTAGGTTCCAGCCTAAGAATGACGAAAGGACTTACCTGGCAAAATCTGGAGTGAGAAGAAGATTGATAAGAGAGATTATATAAGTTAAAATTCAGTCACGATAAATCTGATATATATGTATATATATATATACATATAAATATACACACACATAGTATTTGCTCATTCATATATCACAATCTAACAAATGCCCATTTGAGGAGAATAGTTTGTTTTCGAGCTTCGAAAAACTATGAAGGTTATTATGTCATCTATTAACATACTTTTGACAACTTTCAAACAATTGCATACACAACAGATATCTCTGTACCGTACAGGATCATGTAATTATATACATGGTCTCTCATTCCATTTAATAAACAAGAACAGAAGTTGATTTTTTCTTTTTTTTTTTTTGGACTATATAGTTGAATGATTTGAACAATAGGGGGGAATTGGGAAACAATTGAATTAAGCAAGCTTGTGATGACTATGTGCTCTTGGTGGACTTACTCCGAGACAGATCGGGGCTTTATGCAGCACATGAACCAAGATCCCTTCTTTTGCAATGGTTTAGTCTTGGAATCTCTCTTAGCGACATAATCGGACATGAACTGAACAACTGCCTGTTGATTAAAACGATTCAATTAGTATGTTGAGACGGATGAGCATGGAAAAAAATAAAATAAAATAAAATAAAAAAACCAAGGAAAAGTAGTAAAATCTTGAGCCATTTACCTGGGCACCGAGTTTTGTTACGTGTCTAGGTGGAATTTCTAGAGGCGTCTCATCAGCGCGGAAAACTCTGAGTTTCAATAAGAACCTGAAAGAGTCTGGCAAAACTGTAATCTGGTCATCACTTATATCCAACTCTTCAAGCATCTCGAGGTTTCCAATTGATCGTGGCAAGGATCGTAGATCTGCAAAGTTCTTGCCGACGTTCAATTTCCGAAGGCTTGTTGCGAAACATAGGTTCTCTGGCACGCTTTCGAGCTCATTGAAGCTAACATCAAGCTCCTTCAAGTTGGTGAGATTACCTATAGTTGTTGGTAACCCTTTAATTCTATTATAGTGAAGACTCAGGATCTCCAAGGATACAAGCTTTCCAATTGCCTCTGGAAGAGCTCGTAGCTGATTGAAATCTAATCTTAGTTCCAAAAGCATGGTACAAGATCCAATTGAATAAGGTAATTCCTCAAGCTCATTTGTTTCAACACTTAAACTCTTTAAACTGGTTAAATGCCCCGTTATCTCAGGCAAATGGGTTAACTCATTTGAGCTCAAATCAAGGTTGATGAGTTTTTTCAAGTTCCCAAAAGAATCTGGCAGTGATCTTAACCTGTTTGCGTGGAGATCAAGATCAGTGAGATTGATTAGGTCACCAAAGGAGTCCGGAAGATTAATAAGTTGATTCGAGTGGATATCCAGCTTCGTTAAGGCTCTGAGACGACAAATAGTAGGTGGAAGGGACAAAATTCGGTTTTCAGACAAGTCTAATTCAGTGACATCTGATAATTTCCCAATTGATACAGGAAGCCACTCCATTTGATCCGTCAACTTTCCTTTAAGGTCAAGTACTACTGATCCACTTTTGGCAGTGTTTTCAATTAGAGCCGCCACCTTCATCAGACTCAGCTTTCCATTGTCCCCTACAAACACCAACAGAAGGCCAAAACAACATTAAGAGATTGAAGAAGACTTACATTGCATTATTTGAAGTAAAAGAACTATTTTCCAATACAGAACATAAACAGAGATAGATATGTCCAACAAAAAATTGATTGATTGTCAACATGTACCATTCTAATAGAATGTACTGATCCTTTCAGTGATTTCCGTCGTCAAAATAAAACAGATGGGTTGGCATTGGTGAAATAGTCAGTTTCTCATAAAAGAAGTAGCAAGGAGGCATACAGGAAAACCAAAAAAGACTCACTAACCAAACTTCAAAGGATGAATTTCACTTTTAAGTCACAAAGTATAGTGAACCAGTATATTCCATAATGGTACATGTGTAATACAAAGAGAATAAATGAACTTGACTGAAGCAACATTTGAGAGGAGGTATATCGGTAAAAGAATACAACAAAAAGATATGTAGAGAGAGGGAAGAGATGGTGGAGTGTGTGAGAAGCCTCTAGTTTGGTATTGATAACTTGTTCTAAACATCGATTAATCAAATGGCAATTGACATCCCTCGCTCCATTGACACTCGGGATATTGTCTTCTATCATATCAAACTGAGCATTTTCCTTATAATTGATTAACTCATAATTACTTTTCACATAAGACGGGCTACTTGTCTTTATCTTTTAAGCATCCATACCACAAATTAGCTATCTCGTAGTCTTATCAACATAGGTTGATGGTAGACCCTACAGTCCTACTAATATTAGACGGTAGACCCTACAAATATTAGGCAGTAGACCCTACTAATATTATGTCTATAAAATTGCCCCTTTGCAGATTTTGTGCCCATCATATCTAAAGATTTCAATATACTTAAAATTCTTGACCAAAGAAAATTGGTAACAATTCTGCTATGGCTATAATAATCTAGCAGCTGGGATGAAATCGTCCCTTGTTGGCTATAGATAAGCCTCCTCTCTCGCAGCTACAGAGAGCTCTAATACAACTTACTGGACCCCAACCATCTGCTTAGCTAGTTGAAGTTCATTAGCATAAGTTTTACTAATTGAAAATTTTTATTCCTCCAACTACTAAAGGCATTCGAACAAGCTTGCTAGTAATTAGACCGCAAATTCAGTGCTTCTTGGTTGTCTGCCACCATGTGAAGCTCATCCAGAAATCTGCACTTGGCTGTGTCACTTAGTACCAAATTGTCAAACAAAATGCACATAATTATACCCATTACTATGTTGTAAGGAAACTTTATATACACAAGTGCAGTATTAACCTACAAATAGAAGAAAAAGAAACTCACATACTAGCTACAATTTAAGTATAATAAGTATAATACTTTGAAAGCAAGGATAATTAAGTGAAAATGAAAGAAAATCTAGAGCAAGAGTGACTCTTCTAGAGAGAGAAATGGGAATTATAGGGGAAAGGAATAACCAACCAACAAAATTGTAACAGAGAAGAATTATGATGGTGGAGATCAAGAGAAGCTTCTAGAGTGAGAAAATAGTAGGGTTGACTCTCTCAACACAGATATCTCTCTCCTTCCATCAACATATCCAAGCAAAAAATTAACATAGAATCACAAACAAATAACTGAATCACAGTTTTCTTCATAAGCAAACATCAATTCACATGAAAATGAAGAAAGAAGAAAGATCTAAAAACAACCGAAGCATTAATATCTTTTCCTTAATTGACACAACTAAGACAGATTATCCATTCATATATAAATCCACGTTTATCCACCAATTCTTTCCATAAAAGAAAAAAAAAACGAATTCCGAAACCGAAATCAAACCACGACTTTTCAATTCCCGAACCTGAATAGAAAGATGCCTTAGCGGAAGAACTTCTCTCCAAAGCCTTGGCGCCATTTCTCTCCGACTTCTCAACTTCTCTGCCGCCATAATCATCACTCTTCTTCGCTACCAGGCTCTCATCGCCGATAACCGCATTCGGAACCTCTCTGGCGACCTTCTCAACCGGCTCGGCGGCGGCTGCGCCCAAATTGGCGCGCTTCTGCGCCTGATTATCGCCGGAGACGATCCCGGAGGCTCTCTGGATCAGATCATCGAAGATCTGGAACATTCTATCGAGTTCGATGACATGAACGGCCTCGCGCTTCTGCTCGTAGCTATGCGAGAGGACGACCTTCCTTCTGACCTGCTGGAGAATGGAGAAGAGCTCCTGAGGGACGTCCTTGGGGACCTGCTGCCGCGAAATCTCGTCGAGCTTGGCCTGCTGGTCGGCCTCGACGGATTTGACGACGGATGTGGCGGCTTCGACCTCTTCAATGGTGGGGCGGGGAGGGAGGGACTTGTAGGCGCGCATGATTTCCTCCACGGTCTCCACGACTTGCTCGGGTATTACTGCCATGCTATGGAGGTTCTCGAGCTTTTTGGCTATGGCCGCTTGGTTCGGACAAAGGAGAGATTGATTATTGATTTACAAAGAGGGAAAGGGGAGGAGGGTGGTGCTGCTGGCAGTAAGACGGGGGTTTTGAATTTGTCTGTGGGCTATTATAATCTTTATATGGCCTTTCCTTCTAGATTAGACTATTATATATATATATATATATATAAATAACATACAGACACATATATATACAAACACACACCCACACATATGATATATATGTATATATGTATGTATGCATGTATATAACATTTTTAATTTTGTTTTTTCTATTTTTGGTTTTGGTATTTGCTATTTTCATTTAGGGGCTCCCCTAATTGTATGTGGTGTACCATTTTTTCATTTGTCATTATGGTTATAACTTCTTAATTACATTTGTGTTTCAAGTAGTTTTTGGTTTCGTTCGTGATTAATAAGAAGTTAAGCTAATGAGATCACCACACGTGTACGCAACGTTAATAATGACACTTAGTGTTAAAAATTCGCTCCTTTATTTTTACAAAGTACGAGTATAAATTATTTGGAAAAATAAAAATAAAAACAAATGACTCTATGTGAAAATTTGACAGCTCAGATCGTGTTTTCGTTTAGCTGGGATTCTATAATTATTTTTATTAGATATTAATGTGTCGAATATAATTCAAAAAAGTTTATTTTTCTCCCCCTGACTAAGCTAAATGAGTTAAAAAATAGTAGCTGTTGAGTAGCTTCTAAAACGGCAATTTATGAGAAAATATTGCTGCTGTTTTATATTGTTATATTATATATATATATATATATGTGCATATATGTGGAGAATGCCAACTAGAAGAGTTGGCTAAAGACGCTAATCACACACAAACGGCCAAAAGAGTGTAGGATGCCATGCCACTATTTGCCACCAAGAGAAGTCTTTGTTTTTCATTGAGCAAAAAGGTGTTTCTTTTTTCCCTATTCAAGTTTCTAAAGGTGTGTTCGTTATGTATGTGAAAGAAAATAATTGTAGTCAAAAAGTTAAATTTAAGTGAAAAAAATTGTAGTAATATAACTTGAGTAATTTGAGCTTGTTTATTTGCACTCAAAATCAAAAAAATTTTGAACTCAAGTTATAATTTTATTCAAGTTCACGTTTTTTTTTTGTAAAATTTGAGTTTTAACTTGAGTTTATGGCTAAAATCTGAGTTCAAGTTTCCTCTTCAACTCAAGTTCTTAAACTCAAACTCAAGTTAATGAATAATATTTTTTCTATTCTTAAAAACACTATAACGTTTTCGTTTTAATTCCGATTGAGATGATTTTTTATGCGTTCACAACGAAGAGACGCATTGAGTTTTTATTAAAATACTATCCAAATATAAAGTCAAGTTTTGACCCACCTAAATACAAACTCAAATAGATTCTCAATTCAAACCATAACTTAAAATGTGTACATCTAAACACAAACTCAAATTAGAGCCACAATTCAAACCATACTCAAATCAAGTCAAGTTACCTTAACTTGAAAAATATAAAAAAAACAACCCGGAAATGAACAAGGACTTTGTTTCAGTTTATGATTGTGTATGGAATGAACCATCCGAACCATTATACTCCTCAACAAGCCAATTATTTGTGTTATTTAACTAGAAATATTTGGGGGAAAAAAATGACTTATTATTGAGTTTCTTTGGGAAGAAATAAAGAATCAAATTTAAACAGAGGTTTCAAATCTAATCCGCCGGTAATATTTAGACAGGTTACATTTGTGTACCTATGATAGTGTGGATATTGTCCTAAGTTGACCAACCAAAAAAAACAAAAAATAGTATGGATGTTGTCCTAAGTTGATTAAAAAATCCTCAAGAAAAAAAGTTGGTTTCAAAAAATTTTAAATAATCCCGTTTAGACAAGGTAGTGGGATTAGTGGCATTTTCCGTTTGAAGTAATTTAAATAAATTGTTTACTTATAAACCGCGATTATGCAAATTACTATTTCGTATTATTGTGATTCTTTTGCTTATTAAATAACGTTTTATTCAGCAAAAAAATAAAAAAGTTATTATGATTCTGTCTTCTTTCTAAAATTGTGTAATTTTCTGTTTTTTTTTTTTTTTTTTTTTTTTTTTTTTTTTTTTTTTTTTTAAGACCCCGTCCTTGTTCAATATAACATAATAAAAATTATATAAAAGTTATAATAAAAAACTTCCCACTCCCAACAAACATATATATTATTACCAAATTTATTTTCTCTCTAGTCAATTCAATAGTATCATGCATTGTGTGACAAGTAAGAAAAAAATAGATTATAAAAAAAAAAGTAAGAAAAAAAGTATGTCATAGTTCACATCGTACCCGTGATGTTATAGAGAGGGAAAACAAAAGGGAAAAAAAAAAAAAAAAAAAAAAAAAAAAAAAAAAAAGAAGATTTTATTTGTTGAGTTTGAGAATCAAATATGTTGTCAATTTTCAATAGACTCTCAAAGATAACCAAAAAGGCAAAGGAGTTGGGAGGAAGTTGAAAAATTCACGAGCCGTGGCCAGAAACATTACATTATTGAGTTGGACACGTTGAGGAGGGCCCGTTGGCCTTAGTGATTTGTTTTCAAGTTGGGTAGCAACGACAATGACATTACTGAGAAGGAACATTTTTAGATCGGTTTTTGCAAAAACAAACCCACTCGAAATGGATAGATGCGAGTTCATCCCCAAATATAAATGCTACATATGAGTTACAATGAATCTTCTTTATCTTTAGTTATTAAAAGTGAGTATTTTTGTACCTGGAATTTCTACTGGTACTACTGTTTTAATTATTAAATTATATTTTCAACAACATGAAATGTAACTGTAGTAGTTACGTGTCGCGCGCCGTAAATTTTTAACGTGAACACTTAGAAATTAAATTGTTAAAATATTAATCAAATGATTAAAACAATAATTAATAATTGTAGATGTAGTTAAAAATGATAGTCCATACTATATAAGATATCAAAAGTTGTAATGTCCCAGTATATTAGAATCAATCGGATTGAACAATGCACCCACATAATATCATAATCAAGTAGATTAAATAGAGCATGCAAGTAATGAAATTTTACACCAGCAATGGTGGTGGTACGGCGGTTAACGACGATCTATCAGGATTCTCTCTTTTATTATTTATGAGTTAGTTTTCATTATCCCTTGTGATATTGTAATTATTCTCTCTTTTATTATTTATGAGTTAGTTTTCATTATCCCTTGTGATATTGTAATTATGTTTTTTATCGACCTGTTAAATATGATTTAAGTTGTCAAGTGATGATAATTAATGAAGGTATGAGTCAGGTCCTTTCCATTCCATTTATCATTCAATTAGATTATCAATGAGAATGTGAGGACATATATATATATATATATATATATATTTAATTACATGCAAAAAGAAGTAATGAAAGTTTACAAAACTACGACTAATAATGCTGCTAGTTTGGTGATATGTAGTTCCCACTTCTACTTACGAGCTATGCGGCTTGCGGCCTAGCCTTATCGATATCAAAGTATGGCGCGTTTGACTTCTACTGTTAGTAGAGTAATGTTTTTTGTTCAACCAACATAGCAAGTGTAGTTGAAATCTTTTTTTTTTTTTTTTTTTTTTGAAATACTTAGAAATACCATAAGTTTTAATGATATTACATTTTACTACTCGTAAACTATTACAATGTCCACATCTATACTAATTAAATGATAATAATTTTAATGATATTAAACTATTCTAATAATGTTGCGGGACAAAAAGGGTAAATAGCATGTTTTTTAATTTTTTTTAAATAAATAACATGATTTTAAAACGATTGAAGTAATTAACCTATTTACTGGTGAATACATCATTTATTATTTGCACTTATTAATCAGTAGATAAATTATTTACACTGCATAAATAAATATTTACCAATAACTGTATTATTTACTTCAATTATTTTAAAAGTTTTATATTTGCTTAAAAAACATGTTATTTACTACAACATTTTTGCTGAAATAATTACACTATATGGTAAAATTTTATACCTTAAATTAAAATTTAGTAAATTTTTTAAATATCACAAAAATAAGAAAATATTACATAATCATTATCGTAACGGATTTCATGTTTTCTATTATATACTGATATAGTAATTAATTTAATGATATGAAATTTTGTTATATACTTTAGAAATTTTGTTGTATTTAAACTCTACATGTGCCAATGACGAGTAGGGATGACAAGTTTCTCCGTTAACCCATTTATTTGCGAGGATTCACATTAAATAAGGTAGGAAAATCCGTTCTAAATAGATCCAGATTGTAAATATGTTAAAATTTTAACTTGTTGTGGGGATGGGTTAAGAGATCCTCGACTCTATTCCTCGTTTATCCACTCTATTTAATTATATCATATTTTTAAATTAAATATATTTTGTATAATATGCTATAATATATATTTTAAAGTATAATATCTTGATAATACATATGAAAATTTAAAACTACATTTTTTTTATTTTTAAATTCATGTTTTGTATAGTTGTATTGTTTAATTATTTAATTATTTAATTATTTTAGAATGAAAATAACTAATTCAAAAAATAAGGAGCCATGAGCCCGTTTGATTCTCTAATTCGAGTTTTTAATTCGAGTTGAGATATGATGTTGTGTGAGAACTTTTTACTGTAGTAAAAAAATTAGATGTGACTGTTTTTGAGAGCTTTTTACTGTAACAAAACTCAAATTTTAAACTCGAATCAGCGAAAAAAATGAGACCTAAATTCGTGACTGGAAAATCTGCACCGTAACTCATTAATTTATGCGGATTCATGGAGGCGGGTATAGTGAATGTTTTTATTTACTGAGCAGGTAAGCGAGAACCACCCGCCCCAAATCCGCTAAGATTTTCCGAAGAATTAGGTCATAAGGTAAGCCCAGCCCAGCCCAGCCCAGCCCAGCCCATCCAGCAAAGGCATGTGTGGTGGGAAATGCTATCGGACCGGCCCAAATAAAATGGTCTTCTTCACCCTTCAATGTCCGGTTTCCTTCGTCTATGGCACAGACAAATTCTCGGTCAAGGGTTACATCCCAGCTGCCTCTGCTGATTTTCAGGTAAGAATCTTTGCTCCTCTTGCTTATTTTTGTTGTATAAATATTCCTCTCTAAAAATTTATTTATCTATATACTTGGCGTTAATTGACGTATAATTATATTTCATATCTCCACTGATTATGTACTATTCATTTTGATTTCATCTTGCAATTCTTTTGGAACTCGAATTGGGAAATTTCAAAATTCATTATTTTTCCTAGCCTTGAAAATATTTCAGAGTGTATGCTATTTTTCATGGAAATTAGTAATTATTGTTTTTATATACAGTCAGCTAACAATTTAGGGTAATTAACCCTATAGTTCTTGAATTATCTGTATTATATGTCACTTTGCTCCCTGATCTTTTAATTTTGACAAATCACTCCCTTAAATTTTGATTTTTAACCACTTTGGTTCATGCGCACTAAAATTGGCAAATGACTTCTGAAATTTCTTAGAGATAATGACGTCCATACGCATAGTAACTGAAATTTTTACATAAATATTTATGCTAACTAATAAGTGCGAATTGTTCTATTTTTTAATGTTTTGGAATAATTGTGAAGAGAATATTTAGCATTTAATTGAAACTATTTATGTGAAAATTTCTGTTGTTTTTCGACTGGGACGTGAGAATCTATATGAAATTGTAGAAATCCATCATAAATTTTTGTGTGCAGGGACCAAAGTGGTTAAAAATAAAAAATTCAGGGAGTCATTTGTCAAAATAAAAAGTTCAGGGAGCAAAGTCACATATTGCACATTATTCAGGGGCTAATAGTCAAAGCTTATTCTATTATTGTTTAGAAAATGATGCAAACTTATATTTTCTAATGTGGGTTTTGAATTCTGAAAATTTAATTTGATGAAATCTCAAAAAATGGCTCTTTTTATGTACCAGGCTGGGGAACAACAACCAACTTCTGTAATTGGCACCTTAGTAGATAGGACATGGGTGAAAGTACAAGTATTACTGAGCAGAGGGCAAAGGGGTTGGCTGAAAACTCCTTGGATCAGAAAATAAATGTGTATATATGGGATATGGATGAGACTCTTATACTTCTAAAGTCTTTGTTAAATGAAACATATGCAGAGGCTTTCAATGGTTCAAAGAATGTACAGGAAGGTGTGAAGATAGGAAAGATGTGGGAGAAGCTCATTCTTGATTTGTGTGACAATCATTTCTATTACGAAGAGGTAAGCTTGGATTTTCAATACCAAAGGCATGGATCAAGGGTAAAATAAACCCGAGTTGACGTCATTTAATACAATGATAAATGTCAACTTATAAGAATATTGGGTCACCATAACAAGTTGGTCTTTTAAGATGAAAGTTTAAGTCCTTAGAAAGTCCAAATTAAATGACAAATCATATGCTTGTTACTCACTCCCTTTTTTTTTTTTTTTTTGGAATATTGGTGGGGCAGATTGAGAACTACAATAAACCCTTTCTTAGTTCATTGAGCCAATATGACGACGGGCAGGACCTTTCTAGCTATGATTTTAAACAAGATGGGTTTGGCCCTCCATATGATGACGTGAACAAAAGGAAACTCGCTTATAGACATCGGGTCATTGCTGACAAGTATAAACTGGTGAGAAGTTTAAGTCTACAGTTGATTGTGTTTTTGCTAGTAGGACCTGCTAGTACTGCTGTATAGCGGACCCGCAAAAGTCAGACAACTGTTCAGCTATCTACCAGTTTCCTTTATGTTTTTTTTTTTTTTTAATCATGTTTGTAGTTGTTGTTCTCCACGCACTCTGCCTTGCTATTCATCTTAACGCTTAAACCTTTTCGATGTTTGTGATATGCGATCTGTTTGTCATTGAACAGGATCAAGTTGATATTGATTGCATTGCACTGTTATAATATTGATGCAGATGCAATAATGTCGTTTAGGCACCTCCTTTAGGAGCAAGATCAATTTCCTCATGGTTAATCTTTGGTTACTTATTTGTTATACTTGTAACAATGATAAATAAGATTGGAGAAAAGCCAAGCATAGGAAAAGTTGTAAAACTTTGCAAAACGATGGTTTAGTTTCTGCAACCTAACCCATGATACAATTATACCCATCTCATACAAAGGCTGAAATGTTCTCCATTGTTGCAGGGTTTGAATAGTATTTTTGATCAAGAGATGATAAAGAACTGGGATGACATGTATACTATGACTGACAAATATACTGATGGATGGCTTTCCTCAGGTATTTTAACCTACTGCGACGTTTTTTTTTTATTTTTATTTTTATTTTGCTCTAACTGTTGTATGTCAATCTTAGGTCTCGTTTAGTTCACCGATTTGAGTTTTTAATTCGAATTGAGATGTGATTTTATATGAGAGTCTTTAACTTAAGAGTTTTTAACTGTAGCAAAACTGGAATTGAAAACTCAAATCGTTGAAATGAACGAGGCCTTAGACTGCATTCTTGTTTTGTCCATTGAGACTCATCCAACCTATGAGCTAATAAGAGAAGATAGATTTTTAATTTTATGCATTGAGCATGTCTGACTTACTATATATAAACAAATGAAAGATAGAATTGATTCTTAAGGGGAAACTGATCTCCCTCTATATTGCCTTGCTCTAATGTAGCACGCACTTTCCTGGAGGAGTGTTCGGCTGGGAAGGAAGAAGCATCTGTTGCCCCTGCTGATGGAATTGATGACTCTGTTGCTACGAAGTCTCAAAACATCAACATTTTAGTGACGTCCGGATCATTGATTCCCAGCCTTGCAAAATGCTTGCTCTTTCGACTTGACAATATGATTGCACATGGAAATGGTGAGTCCCACTCCCCGCTTTTTTCCTTCTAATTTTTGTTATCTTTGGAATAATGTTAATCTTGTGTTTCTGGGTAATATTTAGGCTAGAGAATAAGATAGTAGTGAGAATTTAAGAAAATGAATGTGTGGTGGGTAATACCTAGTCCATAGATTGAGGAGCACACAATCCACTTTCTCTTGATGGTTTTTGTGGAGGGCGTCGTCGTCTCTATGTTTGACCACACTTTCTTCCATCATTGATAGCAATTCAGCCTCCTGAATTTTATACAATGGAAGTGACTTTTTGCAAACACCAACATGTGGTAGTTTTATGCTAATAAGAGAACCTGGTAGTTTTGAGCTAATAAGAGAACGTAGATTTTTAATTGTATGCTTTAAGCTAATAAGAAAAGGTAGATTTTTAATTGTATGCTTTGAGCTCAAAGCATACTATTTGGCCTTCTGAATTCGGCCCAGGGAATCCTACGTGGAGGTCGAACCTTTCCATACACACATGGAAGCGACTTTTTGCACACACCAGCATGTGGTGGTTTGTCTTAGAATTATAATAGTTTGGGGCAATTGTCAACTCCAACTGTTCTTAGGCCTATCACCTTTTACTCACAGCTGATGATCGTACTAGTCATAAATGCATTTTAATACGATGGATATTAGTAGTTCAAGATGATGGACCTGATGTTGATGTTATTTCTTATTTTTTTATTTTCTTAATGAGTTGCATAAATATGTTCTGGTGACATGTTTTTGATTTCCGCAGTCTATAGTTCATGGGATGTGGGGAAGCTTCACTGCTTTCAATGGATCAAAGAACGTTTTAATAGCCCAAATGTCCGTTTTTGTGTAATTGGCGACGGATGGGAGGAGTGTGAAGCTGCAGAATTCATGCGGTGGCCATTTATTAAAATCGATCCGCGACCAGGTTGCTCTCACAGGTTTCCAGGCCTCACACTGAGGACAGTAGGATTCTATCTTTCTGTCGTGTATGGCAATCCTGATCTTGAAGAGGATAAAGAGTGACTTGATTTGCAATGGCCAATCGGTAAACTTTTCCTGGAATTTCTTTCCTTAAACGGAACGAAAGCAGAATTATTTCCAATAACCATCTCATAAAGCTGCATTGGAATTCAAATATCCAAATAGGAAGATATTCCCCCTATTAGAACTTATTCAAGTCGGTGATTTTTTTTTATTTTTTATTATAGAGTTAGCTTAGGTTGCGTTGGGGCCTTGTATGCAAGTTTATGGTCCAGTATAAATTGTATTAACTAGTTATTTTCTTGTAAATTTTTTTTATAAATTGATGGGTGGTATAATATTGAGTTCTTATATATTTAGCATGAGCTCTTAAACAGATGGAAATCGACATATAAGACTGTGTGGGACCCTGTAGCAGAATCAGACACTAGCCTAGTCTCTTCTATTAGAACAAAATTGCTTAAAAGCCCTGTTAGAGAATAGAGACGTTTTTGTATTTTGCAGCACTTGAAGACATGTATGTGCATTAGTTAGGAACTGTTTGCCGTTTATAGCCTCTCTTTTTAAGCCACACCCATTTAAAAACGTCGCTTTCTTGACTCTTTTTACCAAATATATCAAAAATTTGTCCAGGGTGATCTAATATTTGTCTTGTCACCACATCCACAGATAAGGGTGCTTGAGAAATCCAGATTGCATTTGATCTATGCCCGTTGTCTGAGGTGTCAGTATCTGTGTGAATTATCCCGAATTTTCTGTGTTGTTGGTTTAGAAGAAGTGCTTTAGTGGCTTCTGTTCAGTATATGCTGCCTCTGTTGGTACATTCAGGAGCCATTTTTCAGCTTGGAAATGTTTGGATAAGGATAAATTCGAACTGGGTTCAAGGAAACCAGTTCGTCTCTAACAGGTTTCAAGTCCAACATTTCGGCTGCAACAAATGCATTCCTCCTTTGTATGATGGTCTTTGGCAAATGGCAAGTTTGGCTTCATTTCAATGGTGGCTTAAGTGCCACATCTACTTGTCACCTTCGACTATATATTTGATTGAAAATGTTGTTTTACTGACGGGGTTAGTTTGGTTTCTCTCACATCGGGATGGGCCCCACTAGCTAGGGCTCAGAGCCCCCATGCTCCACTCAAGGGTGGGACTGGGGTGCTGTTTGATTAGAGTGAGAAAGGTGACAAAACCCAAATCTAATCATTTTCGTTTGATTAGATAGGGCTCGTTACCAAACTTTAAAGTAAAGGAAAGTGTAATAGGATTAGAAAAAAAAAAAAGTAAAGTAATAAAATTAAGGGTTATTTATTTATTTTTATGTGTTTATTTAATTATTATATGGTGAAATAGAAAATAATTACATTTTCTTTCTTATGTTTATTAAAATTAGGAATAATAATATTATGAATGTAATAATTAAAATGTCTTTTTACACAATTAAATAATCATTAATTGTATAGTAATTCATTAAGGGTAGATAAGTAAATTTAACATTCATTTCCTTTGATAAGGAATCAATACTAAGGGGTTTAAGGATTGGTATTCTCTTTTCTTATTCTCTATATCGTGTGAGGTTCGTTAAATCTCCATTACTAAATTTGTAAGTAAACACATTATTAGATGATAAAGTCCTTACTTTCTCGTTCCTTTTGATGCACAGTAAACATGATCTAAGTGTGTTGGATTTGATTATAGGCTGAAGTGTGCTTAAAAGAAGTGGTTCTTGTTGAGACACATTTTATTATTGGACAATCTAATGAATGATTTGCACTAAAACAACTTACAATGCTAAAATGTGTATTACCAAAATGGTAAGCCATCAATCTCATTGTTTTTGTCCCATCCAAATACTGGCCAAGTTATATGCCACTAAAGGTGGTTGCCTAGACCCTATTGGTATTTGTTTACTTCTAAGTGATTTGGTAGATAAGAAGCCTATGTTCGTCCCATGCTTCCATTTTTATTAGCCTTTTACGGGCTAAGGTGACACACTTTATCTTCCGTTATAGGTAATTACGGTTTAATGCGAACATTTCTTAGTATTTGAGGAGATTATATGGTCACATCTCAAGGATGGTCATTTTTCTCCACACTTTTTATTAACAAAAAAAGAAAGAAAGATACATAGATGAGAATTATCCTTTGGCTTAGATGGGTAAACTAGATTTTGTAATCTTCTACTTTTGTTTTTCTGAAGTGGCTGTCTGAGTTTTGTTTGGGAGGGAAGAACTCCCTGTATCATAGCCGAGCTAGATATTGTTGGTAATGGACGCCCCCACATACTGATGGTGAGTTCTCCTGCCACCAAAATTGATTACCATTTTCTTTTAAAGAAATTGTGGTAACTGGGTCTATTTTTTATTTTTATTTTTTTACTTTAATAAATGTGCTGGTCTACCAATGGTGAAGAAAATTGTCAGATTTATCATCTGATATTTACCAATAAACAGTGGTAGCTGATATTTATCACTTTATTCAGTCAAAAAGTATGAGATTCGCCAAAACGGATACTTTTTCTTTCTCACCCCAAAATTCAGGTTTTTTTTTTTTTTTTTTTTTTTTTTTTTCTTAAACTCCAAAAAATGGGTTATTTCCCTCAGTCACCTGCATTTGTTGGTACAAGGTGTGATGATTACTTTCCTCTTGGTCTTCTTGAGAAAGAGCTTTCCATCCCAGAAAGCACTGAGATGGTGAGTTGAAGAACTTCAATAAGGAAAAATGCTATCCAATCTCCAAATTGTTTTTAAAACTGTTTCTCAAATTAATGATGGTATTGGAATTCTTAAAAGAATCAAAATCAATGTGTGATGGAGTCTCGTATGAAATTGCATGTTAGTACCACCCAATCTTGGCATAAAATCTTTTGTACTAGCTGAAAAAGAAAAAAAAAAAAAAAACTCTGTTTGACAACTTGTGAATATTGCAATTTTCAGCGGCAGGAATCATTTTTCAAGAAAATTAAGGGTGCGTTTAGTACGATAATTCAAATTAGGTTGATTTTAATCATGATTTTAAAATCAGAATCATGATTTATAATTTTTTGTTCAAATCATGATTTTGAAACAATGATTCAGAATCATAGGTTTGAATCACCTTAAATCAGGGAGGGGGGGGGGGGGGGGTTTAAAATCATGATTTGAGCCAGTTTAAAACATCACATCAAATTTAGAATCATGATTCAGAATAATTCAAACCAAACACTGATTCTGAATCAAGATCTATAATTATAATTCTGTATCCATCTATCAAACGCACCATAAATTTATTTGTGTGGTTGGAAAATTGACACATATATACAAGTTGAATGTTACACTATTTGACAGAAAAATCTACCTTCTTGCATTATTTTTGGTCCAACAAAAGTACTTCTTGCATTATTTTTTGTCCAACAAAAGTACTAAAAGAACTCCTTAGCAAGAAAAAAAAAAAAACTAAAAGAACTGTTACTCTCGTAATTCTAGTACTCTAATTTCTATGATTATATAGTTAAAATCATATTAAAATAAAAAAGATATACACTACATAACTTCATTGATAGAGTATGTTTTTTTTTTTTAAATCCTACCGTTGAAATAAGTGACCAATCAGCTTTATGATGAAGGACGCCATAATAGTTGATACCAATTAAAAGACCAAATTTTTATAAAGGAGAAAACTTACATGTAAATATGATTAAATAGTTGTAGTGTACTTGCACTAGTTCTCTAGTTTGAACCAATCGCTCGAGACCAATTGGGGGTGAAATTAAAAACTTCTTCACCTACAAGGGGGCAGTGTCAAAATTTTGAATTATTGGAGGAGGACTTTTCCAGTAAAATTAATGGAAGGAATATCCAGTTGGGATCAAGTTAGAGTGGGGGAGAAACGCATAAGAAGTACAAAATAGTGGTCCCTTTCTTCTTTTTCATTTGCTTATTGCCTTATGGTATGGACCCCTTCAATGGTCTTTTTTTGTAGTGTTCCCTCAAGCTTACAAAGGGTATGGACTTTTAAGCTCCGTTCACTTCGCTGATTCGAGTTTTTCTACAGTAAAAAGCTCTCACAAACAATCACATTTAACTTTTTTACTACAGTAAAAAGTTCTCACATAAAATCACATCTCAACTCGAATTCTAAACTCGAATCAGCGAAGTGAACGAAGCCTTAAAGTCTCTTTTTTTTTATATACTTTTTTTTCCTCCTCTCTTCTCAGCCTCAAAAAATTATTTTTTCTTGGTTTTTAGATGCATCAAATTTTAGATGGTGTCTCTTATAAGACAATGGAGTCATTCACTTAACTATTATGCAAATAAATCCTCCTTTTTTTTTATTCCGCTTTAAAAAAAAATTATTAATATCATTTTATCCCGAATTTTTAAAATTATTAATGTCATTTTATCTCGGACCACCGATGTAATGAAAAGAAGTTGATGGATATGTCATAGCACACTCGGCTGCAAAGCCCATTGACTGAGCGTAGATCCTATAGTGGGGAGACAAAGTATCAAGTTATGGGCACGACTTATAAGGAGAAAAAAAAAAAAATCCTTACCGTTGCTCTAACTCATTGGTGGTTAAACCCACCAAGTTTGAAGCTATATGGTACTTACTCTACCAAAGATATTAGACGAAAAATTAATGGCCTCCTTCGTTTCGCTGATTCGAGTTTAGAATTCGAGTTGAGATATGATTTTATGTGAGAGCTTTTTATTATAGTAAAAAAGTTAGATGTGACTGTTTGTGAGAGCTTTTTAGTGTAGCAAAACTCGAATTCTAAACTCGAATCAGCGAAACGAATGAGGCTTAGAGGAAAATCCATTATTGTTATTAGAAATCTCATTTTGTAGAAGAGTCTGTAATTTGAATGAGTATCTCCGACGAATGTCAAATTTTTGTGCCAATACCAAAATTTACTATTTGGAGTAAGAAAACTATTCTCCAATACAAAATGTTATACTTAATGTCGAATTCTAACATATACTATATACTTGGTGTCAAATTTGATACTAAGTATTACGCTATATAAACTTATATAATTACAGCACTATCACTTTTCAATTTATTTGAAAATAAAAAAATTACATTTTTACTTATTCAAAAATATTATCTTTATGAGTTTCAAAAGCTTGAAATTTATGATGGAAATTACATATATTTAAAATAACATTATGCATCAGAGCATAAAATGAAGCAACTTATTATTATGTAATTTTTACGCTTTTGTTTTTCAACTATAACATTAAACGTGCATTGAAGATGGTTTAAGCTTGCTTAAGAAATAATGTTGTGGGTGTGCTTTGAGAAAATAATGTACAGGCGAAATGACAACCTACTTTGACCAACCCAATCTGAAATCATGTCGGATGTGAATAAATGCACAATACCAAATGCCAAATTGTTGAAATTTTATCCAAAAACCTCGCTAGGGCAAAAATATAGCATCTGAAAATAACAATTGGAGTCCATAAAGGAGTTTCAATATTAACCATTAGTAGTGGCATAGTGGCAAACTATAATTTATTAGAAGTCTCTTTTTTATTATTCAAGAATCGATTCTCACTCTTTATTGTAAGGTTGTAATTATGTCTCTCACTGATTTGTTAAATATGGCTCGTATTGAGATGAATTTAGATTCTCTGAATGTTAGTTGACGAAAGTGTCCTCAATAATAATAATAATAATAATTATTATTTTATTTTAGGAAAAACAGAGTTTCAACATTATGATTAGTTTCTGTGTTCCTTTTAGACTAGCATTGGTGGAGTCATTTTCACGAGTCAAAATTCTTTCACTATCTATTGAAATAATTTCAAGTGGATAATATTTTTCAGTTACTGAATCTGTCCAAGAGGGTCAAGGCCAAAAGTTTTAATTTGAATATTGCAAGGCAATGATTGCACATAATTTCAAGGAAACACGTTTAAGTTCTTAGGAGGGGATAATTCCAAAATATATGAAGACATTAGTGGGTCTATAAATGAGATTTGGCTAATATTTTTCTACAAATTAATCCATAGAAACATGTGGTCTACAAGAATTGCATATTTTTATCCAATATAAAGTAAATTAGGTTGCACAACACGTGGCCTGACATTATAGGTACACGTATATGTATATATGTATTCACACACATATATGTATGTGTATAATATATATATATATGTATTTGTGTGTGTATAATATACACAAATCCCAGATGCCCCTTCCTTTTTGTACAAATTTCTAATCTTTCTATCCTATGCCGTCTTTTCTTAAATGGGCTTGGGATAAGATATAAGTGATTAATACATCATTATCTTAAACAATTTTTTTCCTAGGACTTTCATGATGTCTTTTTCATAATTTCTGATGGATATCAACAATAAATGCAAGGCTCCACCACATCATTTTTCTTTTGTAACCCGGCTCTAAACACATTGATGGGGATAAGAACCTATATTTTCTTTTTGAACCAAACTTTTCCTTCCTCGTTTTTGTGCTAATATTTTCTTTCATACAAAATTCTCTTTCGGCTTTGCACAATTTGCATAACACCATTAAGGATCTGTTTAGCAGAACTTTCTAAAAATTGTGTTGACTTTTTTAAAAATACTAGTTTAAACTGCGCGCATACGTAAAAGAGGATTAAAAGAAAAAAAAAACCCACACACAAATCGTTTCGTCTGTGGGGAGAGGGGTTCCAATAGGGATATGTACAAGACCAAATTATTTCAATGGGAACCAGAGAGAAAAACATATTTATTAAGGTCTCATTTGGAGAAAGAAATAAAATTATAATAGAAAAAAAAGATAAGAATGAGAGAGAAAAAAAATTTAAACAAATATATGAATTAGAAAAAGTTATTTAAACTGAAAATTGGATAGAAAATACTTAATTATGAGGGTCAATTTGAAAAAAAAAAAAAGAAGAATGTTTAATAGGGTAAAAAGATAAGAATGAAAAAGTGGATGAAAGTTTTAAAAAAGAGAAAAGTATAGAAAAAAGAAACTTTTGGGTGAAACGTGAGAGCAGAATTCATGAATTTCACTTTTATATGTGTGTATAGATTTTTTATTACAAAATTTAATAATCATTTTGATTTATTTATGCGCTCTTTTAAGAATATAGTTTTAAATACTTACGGAAAAACACGATTTTTATTTTTCTTTTTTACTGACAAAAAATAAAAGTAAAAAAAACTTCTTAGTTTATGACAACATCATTACCTCATTTCATTTTTAGTACCTTTTGCTGAGAATTGTCAACCCCATATTTGTAAGGGATAAAAAACTAGTATTTTCACCAAAGCCAATCTTATAACATATGACTAATAACTATAATCACAATTTACAGCAGAAAAAATCACCAGAAAAACCATGTATGCAAAGGCAGAGGTGAGGTGAGAGACACGAGAGAGGACCACAAAAAGTTAGATTTGGGTCTCTCTCCACTTTTCTATACCCAATATATATACACATATACATATAATGTGTATATATATACATGTATATAAACATATATTCAGATTGTACAGAACAGACGGCAGAGATGAGAGTGTTTTGTTGTGGCGTGGCACACTCTAAGCCCTCCGATGTTTTCCCATGAGAAAGCGTGTGGCTGGCTGGTTGCATCACTCACGTGCATGCAATGCTTCACCACCAATAGCAAACCAAATCAACCAAAGAGAGAAGAGAGAGAGAGAGAGAGAGAAGAGAAGTGGGGGGAGAGAGAGAGAGTTTGGTGGGGCCCGGAGTTCCTGACAAAGTTGATCTTGATATGCCACCAACAGAACAATGGAAGTTAATCTCCTCCCATATCTGATATCTATCTATTGACTATGATGGAAAAAAAATGAGGAAAAAACCAGAATGGAAGTCTTATCAGTAAGTTCTACATGTAAGGAAATTTTTTTTTAATTGTCCCTCCCGACTTATTTTGCTAATTGAAATCACAATTTAAATTTTATTACGATATTTTTTTTTATAAAAACTTAAAATTAAAATTTTTTATTATAATATTTTTATTCACATTAATTTATTTTTTAATTTAAATTCTTAATTCAGACGAATAAAATGAATGAGGTACAAATTTTATATTTTTTTATGCACATATTGTTTTATCTACTTTTTAAAAGCTTTTAAACTTTAGAAAAATGGACTGGTAAAATCATATAATAACGGAAAAAAGGTTTTGAGTTCAAATACCTCTAATTATATTTTTAAAATTATCATCGCAATCTTTAACATGTTTTAGGCTTGGTAAACTAACAACATTTTATATTATAATTTTCTTTTATAAAACACATAGAAGCGGAACATACAAAATTCACCAAGAGATCGACAACAACAGTCTTCAAGAAGAGGTAATACTGCAGCTAATAAGTAGACCCCATAAATGAACCAATCAGACAATTGCTGATTGAAAGGAAACTTGGGTACTTTTCTACAAAGAAGATTGAATCTTGTATAACATGACATGTAGAAATTGCGTAGTAGCCGTAGATTTTGCTTGCCTAGAAACTCTTCTAGTCTTATAGTTCCTCAGAAATGAACTGAGTTGAGTAGAGGGGGAAGAAAGGTAACTAAATAAATATTTTTTAACACCAAAAAAAAATTCTCTCTCTCTCTCTCTCTCTCTCTCTCTCTCTCTAGTTTGGACCCTTCTCTCGCCAAAAGTCCAACTATATCCTCTCTCTTTGTCCCCTCACTTCTTCTGCAACTTGACAAGGTATGTGTTTTCCCCACTTCCCATTGTTGAGCTACTTCAGTTCAACAGCTTGAAAAAAAGTCTCTTCGGGCTCTCTCTTTCTGGGCACTTCTCAAATTATTTCTAGGACTTGTGTTTTCCATTTCCTCGGTGTTGTACTTGGAAATTGTTTCTAATATGGTAAGGAGTAGTGATTATAGATATGTTTGTATATAAGTACTTTTTGAGAGTTTTTCTTTCTTTCTTTCCAGGTATGGTAAGGAGCATGATGTTCTGTGTCTGAGGCAATAATAAGCTTTATTCCAAAAAAGGAGCAACAATCTGAGATTTATTATAATAATTGTTGAATTTTCCCACACAACAATAATGCCAGTTCCACTTGCCCCATATCCAACTCCTCCAGCTCCATATACACCACCACCTTCAAATGGTATCTTACAATCAATCTCTTAAGACTCTACTAAGACTTGGTTTCTTTGTAATGTGAATTGTCTGGCTGTTTGGTTCTTGAGAAAATGGAGAAAAGTGGAAAACACCAATTCTTTTCACCTTACAACTATCTGATGATGGAAGTAGTCAAAAGTTATTATTGCAACCAAATATTAGAATGGATTTCTTTTAACAAAGACAGAAAACTTTTTTTAAAAAAAGAAAAAATTAAAGCAGCTAATTGCAAATATTAACAGATAAAACGAGCAAATTGGAAGCTAAAACAATGGAGCTCTCCGATTGTAAGCTTGGTATGGGAAAAATTCAGCACTAAGCAGTGAAGGTAGAGTTATGGCGTACATATTTTATATGTTATGTCTACTTCCTCGTGTCTCTAAAGAGGTCCGAAATGAATGATGATCTTCTGATTTTATGTTATATATGTTCATAAGCTTCTATGAGTGTTTAAGTTTGATTGTTGTCCATCTAGTTTATAAGGAGCTACAATGTTCAGC